CTTTGATATAGATAGTGAAACCCCAACTCTCATCGCCGTGAACATGTCAAACATCACAAAGTTGACATCAATGAATTATCTCACTTGGCGTCTCCAGATCACAGCTCTCCTAGAAGGTCACGAGCTTCATGGTTTTATTAGTGAAACCGATCAAGCTCCACCCACCCACATCGTTTCAGGTACTGTGACAACACCAAATCCTAAGTTTACTTCTTGGACAAGACAAGATCGTCTTCTTTACAGTGCTATCATTGGCACTCTATCTCTTCAAGTGCAACCAATGGTTTCACGTGCGAAGACTACTCGTGAGATCTGGGCTAAGCTAGCCACGACTTATGGCAATCCATCAAGAGCACACATCAACCAAATCAAACATCAACTCAAGACCATCTCCAAAGGAAATCAATCAGTGGAAGACTACATGAAGAATGTTGTTACTAAGGCTGACAAGTTAGCGCTCCTTGGCTCACCACTCCCGCATGAAGACCTACTTGATCACATCACTACTGGCTTAGATGAGGATTATCGTCCGGTTGTGGAACTTGTCAATGGAAGAGAAACTCCAATATCTATTGAAGAGCTACACGAGAAACTTCTCAACAGAGAGAACACGCTTCGCAACCTTGCGGAGACAACATCAACGGCTGCCCCTACGTCTGCAAACATGGCACAACACAAATACAACAACAACAACAACTACGGAAGAGGTAGAGGCTATGGAAGAGGAACACAAGGACGTGGGTACCAAGGAAGATGCCAGATTTGTGGTATTTATGGTCATAGTGCACGGACTTGTCGTCAGTTTGCCTCACCACAATGGTCTCCGCCGTCGCAGTATCCGCCACCATCATCTCCAACAATGTGGAATCCATCACCACCGATGCCACCTCCCAACTGGCAGCCGCGAGCTCATTACACCGCTTCCACTAACTATTCACAAGCACCGTGGTTACTAGATAGTGGAGCGACTCATCACATAGCTACAGATTTCAGCAATATGTCCATTGCGGGTCCATACAATGGCGGTGAAGAAGTGATTGTTGGCAACGGAGCTGGCTTGCCAATTACTAATACGGGTTCCACTACTTTCTCTACTCCAACTAAACAGTTATTACTTGATAATGTCTTGTGTGTTCCGACTATCAAGAAGAACTTGATCTCGGTGAATAAACTATGTCGATCTAATGGTGTAATGGTTCAAATGTATCCTAATGATTTTCATTGTATATCATTACAAATATACAATCTTACAAATATATCATCACTTACCCAAAAATACAAAAAAGATTGATGGTATATTTATTTGCATGGCATGATGTGAGGACCATTGGCCGCTATTAAATTAATATTCTTATTTTTTTTTTCCTTTAATTTTCTAGATAAAATTTTCTTGTTTTTGTATAAATTATCATTGATTGAGGCGGAAGCTTCAATCAGTTTTGATATATTTAAATTATCTTACTTAATTTTTTTATTATTATTTTACTTCACTCGTACATATTATGATTTCTGGATATTGAATTTCATAAGGCCGAAAATATTATTCACAGAGACAGTTATGCAAAAATCTCATTCATTCGCGACTAGCTATAACTAGCTAGAGAATGATATAGAATAAACTTATAATTAATCAAACCCTTAAATAATTGAAAAATAACAAGATTTGTGAATAATTAATTTGCATCGAGAGGAATAGTCGTATCACTTTCAAATCAATAATGTTTTAAATTACAATAGCTACGGAGTGAGTACTAAATCTAATGCATGTAAGCATCATAAAATTATATCTTAATAGATCTCTTCTCATCGATCGCAAATTATTAGGAACATCATACATACTTAAATATAGGCATATAGCTACTCTTTGCATAACCATTTCTTAAGGAAATCTTAAAACCTATTTTAGTGATTTTTAAATGAAAATTAACAATATAAACGATCCGTAATATTAGGGTTATGTCTCCGCGTTAGGGATTGAAGAATCTGTCGGATCCAAGGACAAATGAAGTCGTTACAAAGTGCGAAATTATGATGTTGAACCAATAACAAAATCAGGTAATTATATTTTTAAAATAAGAATAAGGTTGCAGAGTAGGTAGCTGTTAATTATGCTCTTATAACATGTCGAAAATCTAGCTAGGGTTTTTGCTTGCGCATGTATCATTTGCCACAACGAGAAGCCCACGTGTTAGTACAGTTGACCAAATCTCATTAGCTGATTAACGTTTTGGAGAATTAATTAATAGACTGACTGATTGTATACACTCAGTGTATGGACTGCATGATATCATAATATCAGCTGCAACACATCGCAGTTCAAACTTAATATATGTATATATATATATATATATATATATATATATATATATATATATGGTCAACACATCGCAGTTCAAACTTATATATATGTATATATATTTTTCAGTTCAAACTTAATTTGATTATCCAAAGGATTAATTACAAACACTACTCTGTCTTGGTTAATACAAATTGATTTCTGTCATCAATTTCGTAAAAAATAGCTGTGTTGATTCAACGTGGGTACTCGCGTAGTGATATATATCATACGTCGACTTTCACCAAAAAAAAAAAATATCATACGTCGTTGTAATTGGCTCATTGGCTGATACCGACGAAAATGCAAACACCATCAACTTGAGTAATATATAAGTCCAGCAGTTAGGCAATAACAAGAACCACACATATATACAATATCTATTATACAATATGAAAGAGGATAATTTTTTTTAAGAAAACTTAAATTACGTATAAATGTTTTGCATTATTCATTTGTTTCGTATAAACAAAATCCTTTGAACTCTAAACAGTTGAAAGGAGCAGAGTCAGCAGACAAGGACCAAAGATCCCTTCGACCACATATATAAAAACGATATAATTTGATACGAAATCGTAATGGTTGTGCAGTTGATGTTGCCACTTAGAGCATCATTATAGGGGATGTTAGCTGAATCTTAGGTATTAAAGTGATTTAAATTAAATAGTTAATATTTTAATAAGCTAAGGATAGTTAATTAATTTAAATTACTTTAATACCTAAGAGGTGTCACGTGTCAAGTTTTGATTGGACGGATTTCACATATTGTACAGATACGCCTTCTAATTTCTTCGATAATAGAGCTTGAGTTCGTGATCGAGGTATGCATCAACAATTGAAGAATGATTTGGTCGAGCATATATGGACAAAATATAGAAGAAATTAAGTTTAAAATATTTGTGATTTATGTTATAAATTGTATCTCATGTATGTTTTAATTTTTTTAATTTGCAACAATTATTAAATTTTCTATAATTATAAATTTTATTTTTATATTAATATTTGTTTTTCTAAGAACCACATGTTAAGAGCCTACCATTAATCACACAAAAATCTTAACTCAAAAATACTATCTCTTAACAATCACTTTTACAAATAAATTATTTAAATATTACTAAGATCTATTTCTACGAAACTACTTATAATGATGCTCTTAAGACACTTACGTAAGACTTCATGCAAATATTATTTAATATACGTACGTCTGAATTTACGTGTTAGTTTGATTATATATATTGGTCAGTTTTTTGGGATTTATTCGATAATAGAGTTGATGGGAAACTTTGATAATATTAAAAATTATCATATGAAATTTGGAGGAAAGACAGCAACATACTCGAGAACTCTCTGGAAAATTGCGTTTTCACTTTTTTTTTTCAGGATTAATTAGTTGATCTAAAATCTCCAAACTGTATATAAACTAGATTTTACACCGCGGTACACCGCGGATCGATTTTTTTATAACTAAAAAATTATTTAGCAAAATTTTAAGTTGTATTTGTTTTGTTAATATTGTTTATTTTGTTTAGTGTTTCTGATTTTATAATTAAATTTTGATTTTTAATTCTAAAATTTCATCCATAGTATATTGTTTAATATTAATATCGATCTAAACCCGTTGCACCATATAACCCCGTCCCGTAAAATTAAACATCATTTGTTATTTTTTTTGAACAACATTTTTATCCACTACAGGTCGCAGGTTCATGCGGATAAACCTTTTGTTTTATTTAAAGGTTTTGAGAAAGTATCCTTAAAAATAATTTTCATTATATGAAAAAAAAGAAGTAGAAGAAATTGTAATATCAATATTCCCGATTTATACATCACTCGTTACTATAAATTTTTTTTTTTTGGCAGATAAAAATCAGAAGTTAACTAAGTCGAGATTTTTAAAAAGATTGTGTATAGATTTTTGGTAAATTGTTGAGAACATATTTGATTTCAAAATCTTTACTTAAATAGATAAAGAAAGATTTTGTAGAGACTTTTGCTAAATATATGAAAAATAAATTTCATTTAAAAATCTTTACTTAAATAAAACAAATCTAAATAATTAATGCTAATGGCATGTCATTGTAAATACTTCTCAACTTCCGGATTTATTTGCTAATTGTGATCCAAAAATGTATATATAGATACTGCCAACAAAAATAAAATCATTCATGTATGACTTAATTTAACTTATTGATATATAAGTACTTCCGTGAATTTGGAGTTGATTAAATATATATTCAAATCCATTAAGGGATTGTCTATGACGTTTTCATCAATAATTTTTTGTATATATGCATGACTTTGTCTTGGTTATTGACATCAATTTGAATATAATTTCTACTAATTACTATCATATATAACGATCAAATTATCGTAGCTCCGACTCAAAAGTTTGTATTCCATCGCAAGGTTACATTTTGTAATTTATTTTATTTTATTTTAAATAAGGACTTCCATCATTCCAATTTCTAACACACATGCTTATCTTATTAAACATTGATAAAAAAAACACTAAAGACATGAATTAAAATCTAAGCAAGGTCCACTTAAATAAAAGAAGAAAACCCCCAAACTCCAAAGCCCAAAACACCAAAAGAGCCCAAAATACCAATTCATTCTTCACCACTAAAATATTCCAAAGCAAGCAACGAACATAAGTACATAACGGATAAGTGTTATCCTCAATCCTCATCTTCACTTTCGAAGTTCTAACTCACCGAGAAAGAAAAGCAAAGAGAGTTTGGTATAACTATGAACATTCCCACTTATTACCGCCACTCAAACTTCATCTTAAATCCTCACATAGACAAGACTTTTGCGAGGACTCGACAAGCAAGATCAAATAATATCACATTCATGACAAGAACTCAAGGAAGAAGAAGAAAGATGAGACTGTGTTTGGTAAGAGCAAGTGCCGAAACCGGAGAAGAAGAATCTAGCGATCAAAGCAAGCCAGAGAGAAGAAGTTTCTTGAGCTTAGCAGAAGCCGGTCTTGTCGAAATCTCGGGCCTTGGTGCACACGAGAAGTTTCTCTGTCGACTTACGGTAAATTAAATCATATCTTATTTTTTTCCTTTTTTTAATAATCTATTTCCAATACCAAATTTTTCATTTCCAATCTACTTATTTATTTTGTTACATTGTATTGAAATTAATTGGTCTGGTTAATTAAAATAGGAAATGAAACATGAGTTTTACATAGAAGATTGAAACCCATTTGTATTTGTGAAACAAACACATAGAAGAAGAAACGGATGAAGTTAAGTATATGCACATTAGTTTAAATAACTAGAATATAAGTTTTTTTTCTTTTTCAAAAGCATGTATATTGATTTTTTAGATGGAATATTTCGTATCAATTTCTTCTTATATGTTGGAATTGGATTTTGCAGATATCGTCGTTGAATTTGCTAAGAGTGATATCAGAGCAAGAAGGATGTTCAATAGAAGAGTTGAATGCTGGCAAAATATGTGACTGGTTCCTTAAGGATAAGCTGAAGAGAGAGCATAACATTGAATCTGCTGTTCTTCAATGGGATGATCCCGATTTTCCATTTTAAATATTCGTATTTTACCTTTAATTAAGCCACACTGAAGTATGATCAAGTATGATCCTTTTGAAAATATCGTGAATCTAATTGAAGATATTATTAGCTTCGTCATTAACAAGGTGAATATATATGTGTCTTAATCTATTGTGGTCTGACTAGGAAATATAAACCCTTTGTTAAGTCCTACTATACATTTGTGTATAATTTATCCGTGGAGTATTGGATCGGTTTGAGGACGACTTTGAGACTCGACTTGGGGTTAGGCTGGAGAAAGACTCTAGGTCAGCGGGAGGGTTTTGAGTTTGAAATTTATCAGACTAAACCGAACGGTTAGGTTATTGTGAGTTTGTTGGCGTGTGCAACGTCATTAATTTAGGAGGATTCAAGGGTTGTTAAGTCTTGTTTTGAATAACATAATTTAAGATGAGAAACCTCTCGTTACGCGTAGTAATCTTTTACTATTCTTCTTTTAATTCTTTCTCAAAGTTTTTCTTTCTAGTTTTGGAACTTTCCACCAAAAACTCATGATAGTAGTGGTACGTCGCTTTGTCGAAATATACTCGTAAAATATCAGAAATTCAAGATTCAAGAAGTCTAAAATTATCCATGAAATAAAATGAAAAAGTTTGAAATTTTTTTTTTTTTTTTTTTGTCATCCGCAATTAATTAGAGCTCAAAAAAGTCATTCCCGAGGAATGTTGTTTACATAGGTGATATGAAGCGGCAGGGCCGGTCTTTATGTTCGTGTGGCCTAAAGCTTAAAATTTTTTTGTGACTTCACTCTATTTTCATAATTGAAAATTAAATCTATATAAATTCTTACATATAGCATTGAGTTAGTTTCCATTCTGTTTATGTAAAGAAGTTATTTAAAGTAATATTTTGTAGATATAATAATAAATATTTGCTTTTTATAAATATTTTATATTGTAATGAAATAAAGAGTATAGAGTAAACGACACTTAAAGAATTAGTTTTAAAACAGTGAAATTTGTAACAAAGACAAATAATATGAATAAAAACACTAACAAAATATGACATGTAAAATAAGAAAAAACAATTTAAAAACTTATACTCAAAAGTTTAAAAGCCAAAATTATATTTATTAACTAAACTATTGAAACAAAAGTCTTAAAACCAGAATATTGGAAAGCGAGATGTGGGAACACAGAGAATGATTTTCAATTTTGGAAATGTAAAAAGAAAAACTAAAAGTAGCAGGTGAGTAATAGGAGTCGAACCATCATTATTTTGTATCACAAGAAATGATTGAAGACCAATAGACTAAGGTCTCTTTTGGTTGTGTGGCCCTCAAATTCAGATTATAATGTGTGGCCTAAAGCACATGCTTTGCTTGCCTTAGGCAAGGGCCGGGCCTGTGAAGCGGTTCTGTACGAACTTTTCGTGCCAGGTTATCCGCCTTAACATTAGCCTTACGAGAAATTAAAAATAAAGAAAAAGATGAAAACTCCTCCGTGTCGCTCTGAAATTCCTTCAAATACACTGAAAACGCCGGCCATTCGGTTGGAGAAGACACCATCTTCACCAGGTCTGAACAGTCTGTAAAAAACGTTACCTCTTGATTATCTGCACCAATCATACACTTCATCGCCCAGAGAAGGGCTTCGACTTCGGCATGTAGTTTAAAATTATCTGGAAACCACGAAAATGACTTGACAGAGAACATTAAACCCCAAAAAATAAGACTTTGAGAAAGAGAACATTAAACAAACAATAAAAAATAAAAAAATAAAAACAAAGAGAATCCAATACGCTGTCGTTTTTGAACAATGTCTCTATCGACTTTTTTTTAATTCACCTCTCCACTTTCTCTTCCGTTAATCAAGCCATCAGATATTAAATAATACAAAATTATTTTCAGACAAATCAACAAAACACGGACGCGAAATCAACCAATTAAATCCACTTTCTCTCACCATCTCACGTCCGATCTCTCTCTCTCTCTGAGCTCTCTTCACGAGTCAACCCCTTCTCTGTCGCAATTCGCATGCTTCACCTGTACGAGAGAAGAAGATGACTATGACGGAGGAGAAACCAACTTCCGACGGCAAAGGAGGTTGGGGTTTCTTCAAGATTCCATTTCGTAACTCAAGCGGTCACGGAAACGCCGCTTCTAGTGCTGCTACTTCTCCGTTTCCATCTGGTGCTTCGTCTTCTTCTACTTCTTCTCATCTCCATAACCATCATCAACATCAACATCAACAACATCACCATCATCATCATCATCAGCATCATCATCAGCTTGGTTATAACGGTCCTCATGGTGATGGATCGGGTCAAAATCAACACCCGACTCCTTCTCCTTCAGTTTCTTCTGTTGCTAAGTCGTTTCTTCCTACTAAACGAAGATTGAAGCTTGATCCTTCTGAGAAACTCTATTTTCCTTGTGAGCTTTTCGAATCTCATTTGATTCAGAATCGTTTCTCGAAATTGCAGTTTTTGTTTTCTCCTGTTAGGGTTTGTTTCTGAAGATTTGAGATCCATTGATACTAGTCCAAAATTTCTACCTTTTTGGTAGAATTTGAGTATTTAAGTGATCTGATGATTTGATTCGTTATGTAAATTTGATATTGACTCAATTAGGAAACATAAAGTTTGAAACTTTTTGGGAATTAAGAGCAGAATCTTGACATTGGATTATACTTCTAACTTACCATAACTACAAAAATGGTCTTCCTTTAAGCATTCTGAAATTAGGTGACTTTTATAGATATGAATAATTTTAGGCATCAAATGATATTTGAGGATGACGTTGGTATATTATTAGGCCATGGTTCTTTTCATTATTCAGATTTTTCGGAAATTTAGTTGTTTACTGTTACAAGTAATGCTGCGGAGTACTAACTTAGGTTGTTACTTTGTTTGAAGATGAACCTGGGAAGCAAGTAAGGAGCGCTATTAAGATTAAAAATACCAGCAAATCACATGTAGCCTTCAAGGTTTGTTTATGATCTAAAAGCGTTTTGATTATCTGTTTTTTTTTTTGCGTTTGTGTATGTACTTACTCGTTGCTATTCAGTTTCAAACAACTGCACCGAAGAGTTGCTTCATGCGTCCACCTGGTGCTATTCTTGCTCCTGGAGAGACTATTATTGCTACTGGTAATTGTCTCTTTTTTTCTTCCCCGTGTTCTTATTCTTCTTGATGAGGCTATGAGAGCAGACAAGATTATGTTTGTGACTCTATTTTTCTGCCTTGTTGAAATATACAGTGTTCAAATTTGTTGAGCCTCCTGAGAATAATGAGAAGCCAATGGATCAAAGGAGCAGAGTTAAATTTAAAATCATGAGCCTGAAAGTGAAAGGTCCAATGGACTATGTGCCTGAGCTGGTATGTTGAATATTATGATCTATCTATAAAGCTGATCTATGAACATGAAAACGGTAGTAACAACATGTTAGAGTTCAGATAGAACATAAGATATCAATGACTATACCAAGAATGTTTTTGTTCTGAGTAGAGGTTTCCAGTTACCTTTTAACTCTTAAGTTATTAACATATAACCAAGCAAGTGAGCTATTGACCTTCTCATACCGTTTGTTACGTTCTTAAATTTCTACGGTTCCACTGAATGTTGTTTCCATTTAAAAGATGTATCAATTGCTTTTGTTTTTGTATTTTTTTGGCAGTTTGATGAGCAAAAGGATGATGTGTCTAAAGAGCAAATATTGCGTGTGATTTTCCTGGATCCCGAGCGCCCCAACCCTGTGAGTATCGGAATCATTTTGCTTGTGAAGACGATTCTATTTTTACGGGCTCTCTCTCTAATAACCAATCTATGTGATGAATGAAACAGGCGCTGGACAAACTGAAGCGCCAGTTAGCAGAAGCGGATGCAGCGGTGGAGGCACGAAAGAAACCTCCAGAGGAAACAGGTCCAAAGATCATTGGAGAAGGGCTTGTGATCGATGAATGGGTGAGTCACATTTGCTATCCCTCGTCTCTTCCATATTAAATGATTGTGAAAACCTGACGTTGTTTTTGTCTTTACTCTCTAATAAAAACGCAGAAGGAGCGTCGAGAGAGATATCTTGCACAGCAACAAGGCGAAGGAGCTGATTCTGTCTGAGAGACTAAAAAAGTTTTCTCAGGACAAAAACTAGTGTGCTTGTGAAGAAGAAGAAGAAGAAGAGACCGCGATATTGAATTTATATGCTAACTTCTAGATTCATAATGCAATCTAAGGATCATGTTGGTAAAAAAAAAAGACCATGAAGAAACTTTTCATGTAAAAAAGAAATGTAAACTTGGGTTTGATGATAATGAATTGTTCATGTTAAGTACTAAACTACTAATAGAAAGAAAAAAAAAAAAGATGATGTTTTGTGTGTTTAAGTGTGAAATCAAAAATTAAAGTTCTCCTCCAATTTAGGCGTTGAATTAACCGGTCTAGTTTAAATCGTTATTTTTCGTTGAACCGTTTGAGCAGAAGCTTCTTTTGTGCCGAAACGCTATCGTTTTGTTGGTTTAAAAAGTCGTCAGACCAAGTTTAATCACAAAAGTTGAACTCGGAAGCTAACGTCGTGGTTTTCATTGCTGAATCTCTTTGTACCGGCCAAACTCGGTCAGACCGAGTATCAAATCCGAACGATCCAGTAGGACCGGAATTTTGATTAGGAATCTGCATCTCTAAACTCCAGATGCTAATCCCTAAGCTTATACGTGTACGTCTTCTCAGCCCTTCCTATTCATTTCTACTCCGCTCCGTCATTTCTCCGTCGTCCTCAGCTCATCGCCGGCGTTTACCAGCCGCCGCAACGCTAGATCCGTCGCAACTCAGGTCGACGGATTGTATGGAATGGTAAATTTACAGACACTGATAAGAAGAGTGTGAGCAAAATCTAATGTCGATGAGCAATTCTTTGAAAAAGCTCACTTCTTGTGTTCTTATTGATCTCGATGGTACCTTAATCAACACAGGTAACTTAAGACCTCAATAACTTGTTTCAATTTCTCTTTATATAGCTTGAAAATTAGAATTTGATGTTTTTTTTTATAAATTTTATTGTAGATGGTGTTGTGGGTGACATTTTGAGGAAGTATTTGTGTAAATATGGTAAACAGTGGGATGGAAGAGAATCATTGAAGATAGTTGGGCAAACTCCATTAGAAGCTGCTACTACCATTGTTGAAGATTATGGACTTCCTTGTAAAGTTGATGAATTCAATTCAGAATTCTACCCTTTGTTCTCTGCTCAGTAAGTTACCATCAAAATTCGATCTTTTGTCGTTTTTTTAATCTTCATGTTGTTGATTACCTCTGGTTTTTGTAGGATGGACAAAATCAAATCCCTTCCTGGTGCCAATCGTTTAATTCGGCATTTGAAGTGTCATGGAGTACCTGTGGCCTTGGCTTCCAATTCTTCAAGAGCTAATATTGAATCCAAAATTTCACATCATGAAGGTTTGTTTTATATGAAATGTTGTTACTCAATGCATAAGCTTGTATAGGTAAACTTGTTTCATGCCTATAGTTCCACTTATGTGTAGGGTGGAAGGAATGCTTCTCGGTTATTGTCGGTAGTGATGAAGTTTCTAAAGGAAAGCCTTCTCCTGATATGTAAGAGCCATCTCTTGTCACCCATATCTAGTTTCATCCAATAAAACAAAGAGCGGTTAATGACAATGATCATATTTGTAAAAAGTTTTCTTGAAGCAGCGAAAAGATTGAATAAAGATCCAGCGGACTGTTTGGTTATTGAAGATTCTGTGTAAGTCTCACTTCTAGAGTATTGCTTTGCAGTTGGGTGTTTAATTCACTCTCACTGATAGTTGTTTGAAATGATAGGCCTGGTGTTATGGCTGGTAAAGCTGCTGGGACAAATGTGATTGCTGTTCCTTCTCTGCCTAAGCAAACACATCTTTATACATCTGCAGATGAAGTCATCAATTCTCTACTCGACATAAGACCTGAAAAATGGGGACTTCCTCCATTCCAAGACTGTAAAAATTCACTCCTCTTCCATGATAACTTGTTCATCTCGGTAAAAAGACTTTTAACCTTGTAATTTGTATTTGCAGGGATAGAGAACACTTTACCAATTGATCCATGGCATATTGGAGGTCCAGTCATCAAAGGATTTGGCCGTGGCTCTAAAGTACTCGGAATCCCCACAGGTCAGCAGTGTACAAAACTCATTGAACTGAGCTCTTTATCATCACAATATATTATATTATATGGCTTCTTTTCTTATCGGTACGTTTGTTTTCAGCTAACTTGTCAACAAAGGATTATGCGGATGAGCTAGTCGAACATCCTTCGGGAGTGTACTTTGGTTGGGCAGGCTTGGCAAAGAGAGGTGTCTTTAAAATGGTCATGAGCATTGGTTGGAATCCTTATTTCAACAACAAGGAGAAAACTATTGTGAGTTCATAAAAGTTCAAAACTTTTTCTTCCTCCAAAGGTTGCTTTCTTTAACTTAGCTTTTGTCAAATAGGAACCATGGCTGCTTCACGATTTCACTGAGGATTTCTACGGAGAAGAGCTACGTCTTATAATTGTTGGCTATATACGCCCTGAGGTTATTATAACGTTATCATCATTCATTCTTCATATGACTCGTTTGTGTAATGCAATATTCCTTGTTTGCTCATATTGTTTGTGTTTGCTAGGCTAATTTCTCTTCACTGGAGAGTCTCATTGCAAAGATTCACGAGGACAGGGAAGTTGCAGAGAAAGCTCTTGATCTTCCATCGTATGCTAAGTTTAAGGATGATCCTTATCTGACTAAAGGATAGAAGCATTTATGTAAAGAATTGAAACTCTTGTTTTCTCACATTCTTGATTTGTGAAATAAGCAAAATATTAAAACGCTCTTTGATTGATTACAAGCAACTTTCTTAGTATTGGAAAACATTTTACTTTCATTTTCATGGTTCGTTAGGCTCATCAGGCGGCAACGAACTTTGACCAATACCAATGCGATCTCCAGACCTGCTTCATCTCCTCAATCGGTACTCCTCTTGTCTCCGGTAAGAAAAAGTAGACGAAAATCGACATCACCACCATGAAAAACGCGAAGAATATGAACAATCCGAACTTCAAGTGGCAGAGCATCATCAGAAACACCTGAGCAATCAGGAACGTGAAGATCATGTTCATCGACACCGTTATGCTCTGAGCCGCCGATCGGATTTCCAACGGGAAAATCTCCGATGGCACTAACCATCCAAGTGGACCCCACGACCAAGCAAAGGCCGCCACGTAGATGCATATGAACAAAACTACAACAATGGCGTACCATTTTGGTAAAACGCCGGGGTTTCCATCGACGCCGAACTTAGCTCCGATCGCCGCCGCAACAGCTACCTAAACCGGTTACACATTACCCGGATTAATTGTTGACCATAACCAAAACAAAAAACCGGTTTAGAGATGAAGAAATACAAAACCTGAGAAATTAGCATTTGGAATCCTCCTTCAAGGAAGAGAAATCGTCTTCCCCATTTATCAACGCCATAGATTGACACCACGGTGGCTCCAACGTTAACCAAACCGGTCACAACCGCCGAAATCAGAGCCGCGTCGCTACCGAATCCAATCGTTTGAAACAGAACCGGCGCGTAGAACATTATAACATTGATTCCGGTGAGCTGCTGAAACGCCGGAATCAGAATCGCCATCGTTAGATGTGGTCTATACTTCCTCTGCAACAGATTCCTCCATGGATGCTCAACGAGCTTCGAAGCTTCACTGGCGACGATCAAATCGTTGATCTCGTCATCAACGTCGTCGACGCCACGAATCTTACGGAGTTTCGTTTCCGCTAGCTTAAATTGACCTCTCTCGATCATGGAGTTTGGTGTGTCCGGGAGGATAAGAGAACCAACGGTGATGATGAGTGCCGGGACGACGGCGCCGCCGAGACTGAGTCTCCAACCCCATCCGCTGATTTTGGAGAAGAAGAAGTTCAAAACGTTGGCGATAAGGATACCAATGGTGATTGAGAGCTGGAATCCGATGTTCAATGCTCCTCTGAATTTATACGGTGCCATCTCCGAGAGATACAACGGCACAGACTGTAAAAATTTAGAAAGTTTTGAGGCTAATTTGTAATAATCTAGAACTTAAGGGCACAAAATTAAACAACAGTCTCAACACAAAATTAACGGACCCATAGGGGTGTATATGTAGAAAACAAATTATAAGGTCGGAATCGAATATTCTAGAACTTCAGGGTACAAGTTTCCACCAAGTTATGGAGTCATATGGGTCTGTTTTGTATAAAACAAAAGTGTGAGGTCAAAAATGTAATATATAGATAAAAGTTAAGACCTGATTGGTGAAGCCGATACCAAAACCGAGTAACAAACGACCAACGATGAGCATCCAAACGGCAGTTGCGAAACCGTTAAGAAGAGCTCCGGCGCAGAAGAGAACTCCGCCGAGAAGCATCGAAATTTTCCGGCCAAACTTACGGGTAACGTAAGAGGCAACGATGGAGGAGCAGAGTGCGGCGAGGTAAAGAGAGGAAGTGAAGAGAGTGAGAGAAACGCTGTCAAATCTGCAGTATTGGTTTGATACGTGATCCTTCTTCTGTTTCTCGTAAACCGACGGGAAGAACTTTTGCTGAAACGAATCCATTGTCGTCACTCCACCTGAAAAAAAAGACAACAAAAACGTTTCAACTTTTTTTTTTTTTTTTTTCCTGGCGTTTAGTGTAGATATGAGATATTCTTACCGGAGATACCGATGTCGTAACCGAAGATGAGACCACCCATGGCGGCGACGATACATGTCACGGTGACGTAAAGAGTGAGTTTACCAGGATATTCTTTTTTGCCATCTCCGACGACAATTCCGACTGAAGGCATTTTAGTCTTTTTTTTGTTTTGTTAGTAGACAAGGCTTATGAATCGTTAATGTGTGTTTATATAAACAAAAGAGGAGAAGTTGATGTACTGTTGTTACTCCATTTGTTAATTTTTTTTTAAAATGTTGTTTTAGGGAAATTATCCTATTAAAAAATTTATTACTTTATATATTTGTTAGTTGACTGTTTGTATTAGACAGACTGTTTTGTTATTGGTTGAATATATTTTTCTAAATAATAAATGATGTTTTAATGGAAAAAAGACAAATAATTTTACACAATCTATGTTAGTTTCTTTATATCATTATATGTGTAAGACACTTAACAACACTTGAAATGTAACCGAAGGAATATGTTATACAACAATGTTTGAAGTCAATTGTTGTTTCTCTTCTTTTTTCTCTCTTAAAGATGATAATACCAAAAGAGATTTGACATTGAAAATTGGAAATAAATCTTTAGACCTTATTATTCCCATCCAAAAATGGGTAAATAATCCAGGCACATAAGTCAAGTACATTATTTTTGAAAACTTTTTAATTGGTAGAAACTCTAAAAAATAGTAGATCATTTTTATCCTTAGTATAAAGTAATCTTATTATTATTACCCTAGGTGGCTAACGTGTAATAAACTCAACGATATGAATCGGAAGTGTATGGTGGTTGATTTGAATTATTTTTTTTGGTTGCCTTTTACGTAGAAAAAAGTTATATAGGTAAGTTTGCGATTTTAGTCGAGGTCAAGGAGAGTAGTGGTTTGGTAGGTTAGGTTTTGTTTTTAGTTTTACTAATAGAAAGATGAACAATTTAAGTATTACGTGTTGCCAGAAGATTCTCCTATTTCTTTCTCCCATAATTGATACTGTATCATGTAAAGGGAATTAATCGTCAAAATCTAAGGACAACAATAGATCTAACAATGTATTTTATTTTTATTTTATTTTTCTGACTAGCTAGGCGACATATCTTGTAATGTTAAACATTATTCTATAAGAAAAACAGTAGATTATATTCTTTGTGAAATTTATACACTCCAGTCTCCAGCAATATAAATATATCAATTTCACGTACCAATTCCAAAAACAGAAGTTACCAAATGATGTTTAACATTTTCCCCTTGTTATGCTTTTATTTGAAAGTAAAAAAAGCAATAAGACTATATTCATGAGAACTCAAACGAGAGAGACATGAGAATTTCAAATGCGACTTGAATCCCTCCCGAAGATGAATCGTCTCATCCAGTCTGAGACCACCAGGACTCTCGTTCGCCAGCTCACTTGCTTACTGTGTTATTGAAAACAAAACTTGTAACCAAACAGTAACAAAAAAAATACAAAAATCATATGAATACTTTTTGTATTTCACTAGTCAAATAACATGTTCTACCTAGCGTAAACGGAGTACCACAGCCATTGACTACTGTGTCCTATCGAAACCCAGTCTCCTGGAAGTTGCGCCGCAGTTTGTTCCCCTCCTAATGGAGCAAACTGTCCCAAATGTCGATACCTGAAGGGACGGAAACGATGACGACCTTCTCCTCTAATCCTAATGGGACCTTCAGGATTCTTCTCGCATACTTCCATACGATCAAAGCATTTTGCAAGGTAAGTACCTTGCTGAGCAGCGACCTTATAAAGCCACCAGACAAATAATGAAAGCAAAAAGTGTGTGAGTCTGACTGTTTCACTAAAGATGAAAATTTCAAGTTAGTAAAAACAGAACAAACCTGTCCTGTAGCTGGAAGAAGCTTCACTTGTGAGTCAACTTGACAAAGAGCTGATTTAAGTTCTTCTATATCGAGTTCGACGGACTTATTGGAACCATTCTCAGCTTGTGCTTCTTTTAGAAGATCGGTAATGCCATGCATACCTTTACTCTTCAAGTAGAGTTGCACTTGAGGGTATCTATCACATATGTCACCCATTACTTCTTGAAATTCTTTCATTGTCAGTGTTCCTGAATTTTCCTTATCTGCTTTCTTGAATATAGCAGCTATGTCTTCCTGAAAAGAAAATCACAACCCAAAAGTATTAAGAAACAGAGAACCCCTATACACAATCCATAACTGTTAGCTCATTTGTATCTAGGGTTCTGAATTTGATTACCATGACTTTTCTCTGGTTGATTGTTGCGCAATCACCAAGTGCATATATGTTGTCACATCCTTCAACACGAAGCCATTCATCGGTTGCTAAAGCACGTCTATTTCCCTGAAAGAAAACATCGTAGACCGAGTTGATAAAGCTTGTTAACTATGAAAATATGAGCATTAATAATGTGCAAGCTCATATCATGAGGCATTTGATTACAGACCTGACCAATTTGTTTCATAAAATCTTTGATCACAGGACGAGTCCCAATACCAGTTGACCAAACGATCATTCCATAAGGAATAGTAGAGACCTCTCCTCCTTTGGTTTTAGCAGAAATTTCCTTATCATTCACTTTGACCACCATAGAACCCAATTTCACATCAATACCATCTCTAGTAAACTTTTCTTCAGCAAACTCTGTGATTCTCTTGTCAAACCTGTGAAAGAAAAGCTTCCTCAGAATCCTGAGTTAATTCTTCCATTATAGATCAAAAGTTCAAGAGGTAAGAATATCTCACATGGTCAAGATGTGGTCTGCAGCCTCTAGCAGAGTGATCTGCACTAAGTTCTTGGCTTTGGGATAGAGTTTGACTAAATCCTCGTTAACAAAATCATGAAGCTCAGAAGCAAACTCAACACCGGTTGGTCCACCACCAACAACTACAAAATGTAGCATTCTCTTTCTCTCTTCTTCGTTTAGTCCCGGTAAACTTACCTTCTCAAATGAATCAATGACAGTGCTACGGATTCTCTGTGCATCTTCAACCTCCTGCAAGACAACAAACATATCATAGAGACATGTCAAAATCCCTACATAAAACCCTTGGAAAACTTTCTCCCTACTAACAAAAAAATGTAACTAGTGGAGCAAGAGTATTGTTACTTTGAGGAAATGACAGTTCTCCTCCACCCCTGGAATATTAAATGTGTTTGACTGAGCTCCAGTAGCAATTACAAGGTAATCATAGTCAACATCAAATTCTCTCTTCCCGTTCGAATTCACGCCTTGTTTGGATCGACAGTAAACTTTCTTGCTTCGAGGATCAATTTTAACACATTCTGCCTCCAAGAAAGACATCTCAACATTCTACTTGACAAGACACACAAGACAAAGCTGGATTTAGTAGGTTGTTTTCAACAATACAAACATTACAAAGAAATAAGTTCTTCATAAAAGTGTTGTTCCAAAAGAAGGGATTAAGAGTGTATTAGTTTACCTTTCTTCCAATGTTGCGGATAGGTTCAACAACACTGCGAGCTTCAACAGTTCCGCAAGTAACACTAGGTAACAAGGGAGTGAAAGCAAAGTAGTTTCGAGGCGATATAACCTGAACCTCATAAGAAGAGTTATTCAGAGTCTTCAAGAAACTTGCTCCAGCCCATCCAGTTCCGAGCAACACTACTTTTTTCTTTCTGGTTTCAGTTTCAACACCATTGTTGCTATATGATGCATTTGCCTCAGAGTAGACTATAAGTCCTCCACCACTATCAAATGAGGAATATTGTATCAGTAGTCACTATGCATATAATACATTAAATGTCCTGATTACAAATCAGAAGACAATCTATTGGAACACAAGATCAAAAATCAGTTATCTAAACTAAATTTGATTGTTATTCAAGGGAATCATCAGCTAAACAAATTTTGATGTTAATTCTTGTATCACAAGTAAACAAAACAAGACTGTTGCATATACGGGAAAATAAAAAATCTTTATCATTACGAAGATCAAGTCATGGCAAAACCAAAAGGAGACGACTATATGCCAGATACAGAACAGAGTAAATTGATAGAGAAGCACAACGTTTTAAGTAGATCAGAAGTTGAGACAAAATGAAACAGAGAAAATTCAAACGTGAAATACAGATGAATCGGCGATGAATTGGTATAGTTACCTGATTGTGGAGACGACGAGAATCCTGGAAAGAGAAGGATAATCATGGAAAGCATTGGAGAATCTTTCGAAGAAGGTGAAAGGTCTCATAGTTTCGCTTGTTGTGCGATTCAATCTCCAAGAACGAATTGGTTATTCTTGCTTACATAGAGAGAGCCGAGAATTATGGAGAAAGGAGAAGAAAGAATGATGTGGAGAGGCCAAGTGGGACAAGGAGAGTGACGATGATTCTGTTTTGATAATAACCGTTTTGGTTGGACACGTGTAAATGCAATGGACAAAAAGAAAATAAGAAATGCTGAGGCCAACGAGTAGAGAGAGGAGTAACAGAAACGCGTGTCGTTTCCCTGTGACTTGACGGCCACGACAAGAGTTCTAGTGCTCCTCTCTTTTTGTTATTGTATTTGTTTGCAGTTTTTTGGACCCTCTTATAAAATGAAAGTCAGAGACAAAGGTGAATGTTCTTAGACCTTTGAAGCTCAAGCGACTTCGAGCATTATCACCAGCTTCTTCTTTGACCGCCGTCGTTGCTTTGCCATCTTCGTCGGATCTCCTTTTCCGATCTACAATTTTGGTTACTTCTTGTTACGACATCTTTTCTCATAAAAGAGAATGGGCTCCTGACACAACTTTTGGCCCAATTGTATCTTTACAAAAGAATATAAGCCCATTCAAACTCTGCTTTCACCAACATAAGCCCATTCAGAACACATCTTAAAGACTTGGCTTTCTCATTTTATGCCTGAGACCCTCTGTTTCATTTAGTGGCAAAAGCTAACCACACCGACTTCTTCTAATACCATGATTTCTTCAAAGGTTGAATAAAAATTTGAATCAGTATTTTTTTGAAGGAGATTGTGAAATTCTTATCAAGATTGTCAATGGCATATCGAAGAATCACGGAATCACAAATTTAGTTCAAGATATTGACCTTTGGGCAGCATAATCTATTTGTTTTTGCTTTACGAGAAGAGAATGTAATGGTGTGGCGCATTGCCTTGCAAAATTTGGTTGTATGTAGGTTAATATTTGATAATGTACAAAACTCTATGCAAAATAATTTATAAAATAGTTAATCTACAAAAATATTACAAAACAAACAATTATTAGGTGATTAACTATGCTTAATGATTTGTGCTACTGCTATTGTTGCATAAATTATGGCTACTAATTTTATAATTAGGTCATTGTCCCCACCCAGTTTTAAACCGATATAATGCATGTTATTGAAGAAAAATAAAATTCGGTATATACAGAATTTGTTATTTATAGTAAATTTGTTTAAAATCTCTATACTATTAAAAGAGAAGTACAAATGAAAATGGGTCGGGTTAAAATCAGAAAATTGACCCGAAATTCTGAAATCGGATCTTTGAAATTTTTTTGGAATATAAATTCGAATTAATAATGAAAAATCGAAATAAAATCAAATATTTATGGAAATAAAATAAAATCTGATTGTACTTATGGTAACTAATAATAAAAGCATATTCCGAACAATATTATACATTAATTACGTATAATAAATTTGTTCATATATTTTTGGGACTAATTCCATAACAATCAACGTTTTTGTCATTAATTTCGCTCATTTTAGCCAATTATCATTAATTGAAAGATATTTTATTTGCTTCTAAAAATTTCTAGAAAATTTATCACAAATAACCCAACTGTTTTATAAATTAAATTGATATTTTTATTTTGGTCGTGTAAATTAAATAAATATTTTTATTTTGGTCGTGTAAATTAAATAGATATGAAATCCATGTAACTAATTTTAATTTAATTATATTAAATCAAAATTATGATATTTTCATACCTATAGCTTACCAAAGAAGTTTAATTTTCAATTTATAAAGATTTTTTGAATATGATTTTAGAATTATTCAACAAGATGATAAGTATTTATTAAATTTTGTGAATCATGAAAAATAATAATTAATTTTTAATCATTATACTTCATCTTTCAATCTCTCATCTAACAAATAAGATACATATTCTATTATTACTATGTCCAAACTTCATTTTGTTGTATGACTAAAACTTCATTTTGTTGTATGACTAAAACTTCATTTTGTTGTATGACTAAATAATATTCTCATTAGAACTGTCAAAGCGAGTTGATTCGTCCCGTTGAGTCCGTTTTGCGATAGACAAAAAATATTTTGACTTGTGTTAGTCAGTCCGTACGACCCGCGGGTAGCATATATGAAATACAAACCCGTCCCACGAGTGTATGCGGATTTGCGGGATTGTCCATGGATTTTGTTTAAATAATTTTAAAGTAACCAAAATTTAAAATACTACTAAAATAAATAAATAAATCAAAATATTATTAAAAGTTTGTTTAAATTACCACATGTTGAATAAATTATAATTTTATCAATAAATACTAATATGCGGGCTGATCCGCCAATCCGCGGATGAAAACCGATTAAACTTATGACCCACTGCGAATTAATCCATGTGGCCCGCTTATTTGCGGGTTTAATATATTTTTCCAAATCTGCCCCATAGTGAGATGATGTGGGCTCGACCCGCGGTTTTTGACCTATTTTGACTGCTCTAATTCCCATGAATCGTCTAATTTTAGAATTTTAAAACACAAAATTCTATTTTGTAAATCAAAATTAATACGATGGGTACGTATATTTATAAACAATTTTACATTTTCTCTACAATTCGTTATTATAAATATTTATGAGTATACTACACGATTCGTTCTACTAAAAACACACACACAATATTAAACGCAACGTATGTAAACCAATATTCTCCCGCGGTGGACCGCGGGTCCGATCCTAGTGTAAAACAAGTATAACTAAAACAAATTGGATAAAAATGACTTACAAAGAAAAAACAGGCAAAAATGATAAAACTAGAGGAGCAGGATGAATTCTTCAATTAAGACAACATGTGGATGAATTCTTCAATTATAGGTTGTGATTTTTCAACCTACCATCGTCGTTTGACAGAGTGTTATGAATCCGAAAAAGATGCACAAAAAGGTACCTAAAGAACAAGACACTAAAGATGTCACTTAGTAATAGGCTAATAGCCAACTTCACCAAAAAAAAAAAAAATCCTTCAAATGACAACTAATTTTTAAGTCTACAACCAAGGGTCGTGAGTTAAAATGGAGGACTCGTTTTAGACTCTACTCAAAATCCACTTCCTGAAGTATATAAATACCCACGCAAATCCATTAATGGCGATCATTAACTCCACGTAAAACCCAAGCCGCACAGAAGATTTGTGTGATTCTGCCCTTGTCAAGAATCTTGCGTGTTACTTAAGTCTTTATTAGGAAGTTAGGGTTTTCACTGCTTTGGCTTAGTTAGATCCAATTGTTGATACCTAAGAGTCTGATGATGGGTTAGGTGCTTTGAGGGATTTTCGATCTTGTCTAGTCAAATGGTAACAAAAACAAGAGAAAATAAAATTTTCCAAATAGGTGTAGATATGGTCATACTACTTTATTTATATTTTCTCAATTTGATTCAGATTCATTTTCTTTTAATAAATAAGAAACCAAACTTTTCTTAAAATTCCGACTTTTAAATCCAGTTTGATAATAAATCGCAGGTTAATCCTTGTGTAGAAGTTGAAAATTGAATTATCCTCGTATAATATATATACACAAATGGTATTAGTAAAGAAAATTAACAACCATTAACTGTTGCTTTCGTTTTTTTTTCTTTCTAATCGGAAAAATGCTTAATGGAACTTGAGGAAGCATAGAGAGAAAGAGATCATCTTCTTCTTCTTCTTCATGGAAAAAGATCGATCTCGATCAAACCATCGTCCTCTCCATGAAAATCAATCTCTGTTTGTTTCCATTTATTCATCATCTTGCTATTATGGCTACGATGATTATACTCATCGAGCTTAATCTCAATCAAACCTTCGCCTCCAATTCCACCGTCATCATCCTCCTCTTCCCATCTGAATCCTATATCTTCCGCTGAGTTCCAGTCACCGATCTCCGGGAAATTGAATTCAGACGAGGAGGCAGAATCCGATTCTGGGTAACAGAGTGACAAAGATGGGTATCTCTCGATTTTTCTAAACCGGGTCGGATCTTTTTCATTCGGATCCTCTTCTTCTTCTTCTTCGTAGGCTTCGTGAATCACTTCCAATGGAGCTCTCAAGTTCCATTCCACAAAATCACCCATCAAATCGGAATCACGAACCAGAAAAACATTAGGTTCTTCAGCTTCCTTGAGAATCTCGTAGCTTTTCTCGGGTCGGGTGTTAGATTCTCGGGTCGACCCGAGGCGGAGAAGAGAGAGGAGAAGAGCTCCGGAGATGAGAAGAACAGGGGAGAGAAAGATTCGAAGCAAATCATTAGGGAAATAGATAAGAATAAGACTATAGAGAGAGATGAAACAGGAGAAGAGAGAATTAAAGGAGGAGACTTGTAGAGTTTCTCCTTCCATGGCGTGATGGAGTTTCGAAGCTGAGAGATAGAGAAAGAGAGACTTTGGTGGTCGTTGCATTTAAAAGCCCCGACGAGGGATTTGTTTTGTCTTTAAATAAAAAAAAAAAAAACAGTTTAGTGGTCAACAGATATTTAATTCTTCATTAAATTACTTTGTTTGAAACATTGAATTTTTTTGTTCATATAAAGAATCTTTTAATTTACTCGCTGAACAAAATAAATATGATGTCAGTTCTAACATTATTTCTGTTTCAAAATATGATGCTATATTCTCGATTTGAATATAAACTTGACACAACAACATGGAGTATTGAACTTAACTTTGTGTTCAGCTACGGGTTACCTTTAGTAGCTAGACTAATCTAACTTTGATTAATTTTGTAAGAATATTTGCATGAGGCATAACCAGATTAACTAATTTAACTGTGTTTCTTTACCGAGATGACCATGTGGTCCCCCAACAAAGGCTACAAGAAAAAACATATCCAGTTACATTCAAGGTTTAAGTAACTTCGTAAAATGAGCTAAATTTTATAAACATTGCACTAGTCTAATGGTTAAATTTAATGTCTCGCTTTGACAAAAAAAAAAATATATGACTCCCTGCCTCACTGGTGAACCGGTGATAAAGTAAAAAATGTTGGTATAACCAATATAATTTTTTAAAATATTAACAAGATAATTCTGCTTTTAAATTTTCCACAAATATTATTATAATTTATTAATTTTTTTTTGTTTAATTGTTTCCTAATATGTACTCTTATAATTCTATTTTAAACAATTACTATTGTTATCGATATATATATATATTTATCGGTACATGTAAAAAAATCATAAATTTGTATTCGCTAGATCATCGATTTATTGTTTCTAGTAACTCTAATATTAATCCAATTTAACCAATCTTTTTTCATATAAAAAACTTCCCCGCATATGAAATATAGTGGCATGAATGGTTTTGCACAAAAAAAAAAAGTTGCATTCATGGTGTCATTCCTTGGCGTTTCAATGTTTCATCACACAACATGTCTTGCATTTAATTATTTTTCTCTTCACATCTTTATTTAATTTCTATCATGTATGTTTTTCTATAAAGTTTTGAGTAATAATGAATGATCAAACAAAGCAAAGTAGTTACGCTTTATGTTTGTTGAGAAAGAGAAAGGTGAAGAAAGCCTGAAAAATGTCTAAGGCAGCACGATTGTCTTCCTTTTATATGCGGAGTGGGTCTTTTGCAAATGTCTTCCTTTTCTAATTGAACCAAAATAAAATGTCTTCCTTTTTTTAAATAGGAGTCTTTCTTTCTTTTTGTGTTATATAAACGAATATATATATATATATATATATATATATAATTGTTTTTGGAGAGTATGATCAAATTGCCGTATAGAGTAGTAGAGATTTGGCATGGATGTTTCACTTTTAGTTAGGAATTTCCAAATAGTACTAGAATTTATTTTTCTTCTTTTCGATTTGTTCGGTTTGAAATATCTTTGCCAACTTAATTGTATTTGCTTTATAATTTGATTTAAAAAAAATTTTGGTCCAGCTTAATTTTTTCGGTGCAAGTTTATTTTTTATCCGAAAAAGTATTTGTTGCTTATTTTAGAAAGAACTTCAAATGGGATTCGCAAATTATTTCCAGGACAGAAAAGTTTAATAGAATAAAAAAGCAAATTGCAAATGCGTGCTGGATGAATTACTATGCCAACTTAAACATAATCTAAAAAAAAAAAAAAAAACAGAATCTAGTAAATAAACTTAAAGAAAATAAATGGAACAACATCGTTTATTAAAAAACTCATATAGTTCTGCGGAGAAACCTGAGAAATAGATTAAATTAACTTAGGCAAAGTCACACAAAGGATATCAAAACATAAAATATTCAATTATTAGCCGCAAGTAGAACTATAAGACGATAAAATATGTTTACTTTAACCTTAAATTAAAAGGTCTATACTGAAAATTTGTTAAGTGTTAAGTTATATATATGATTGAATTAAAGATTTTGGTTATGATGAAGAAACTGCTGAATGGACTATAAGCTTTTGGTTTTTAGATTATTTGACCTTTATTTTAAAAATAAATAATGGTAATTTAGGCAAGAAGCAATGACTTTATATAAAGTCGACAAAATTAATCAAAGTTTTGATGATTAGGGAGAATGGACCCAAAGGACATAAACCACGTGACTTGGAACTGTTTTGGACCGACCACATCCATCACCTAGGCTTGACTTCCACGGAATGATTTTCAAAATTGGATGTCCAAAACTTTAAAAAGCAAATGAACAATTAATTTTGGGATTGTGATATATAAAGAAAAACTAAGACATCACTTTTTCTTCTTCTTTTTTTCCTCGTGTCTCTTTCAATGTATGGGTTAAAGTGGAAACAAAGCTATTCCATTTCGATAAATGATAATTAGAGGTAGAGATGCATATGGGAATGTTGACGTAAGGATAAAATCTAAATCTTGATAAAGTTGAAGTTAATCATATATATTATTCAAATCGTTTCGTGAAAAATATATATGGAGATAGATAATATAATCTATCTAACATGAATAGTGGGTGATAGCAGAAGACAACGACCTCTCATTAATTTTGATGCCAATTGACACCGATCAGAATCCCATCTCCAGTGTCCAGAGATAGAGAAAGAATGTCACAATCGAAAAAAGAGCTTTGTTGTATAATATAACATGATAAATGCAAGCAATGTAAATATACTTGTCGACGGAAATCACTTCTACAATGATAACTTGTTGATGTGAAAATATGTTTTTAGTACACTAGCTAACAAAAGAATGAGAAGATAGTGGAATTTCATACATAGACAGAAGCAGAAAATAAGACCTTAAAGCCATATGATGAGTGTAATAAAGAATCAACTTCAAAAACAACACCGGACCACTCAATCTTACCCCAAATCTCGCCTCCATTGCGTCTCTCCACGGAGATCTCGGCAGAACAAAGGTCCAAACTCTGCCCGATCCAGAAGATAACAATGTTTCCGGCAGAATTGCTGCAGAGTTTGTTGATATTAAAGAAATTTCTCGAACTAGAGAGAGAGTGTTGCAGCTCTTCCAAACCTTTCACTTCCTTCCAATCCAAATCATCTGGCTGACACCATAGGATTTTTCCGCGAGTACCACGACGGTAAAATAGTTTATCAATGATACACCAATCGTTTCTGTTTCCTATCTGATCGCTTGACAAGTAGTAGAAGATTGGACGCTTCTCATCCAGCCCGAAAATCTTCTGCCCCTCTATAACCACACTTTGGTAGATATTTTTACATTCTGGTGTCTCAAAATCCCAATCTTTGGGCAAACACAAGAAAGGGGCCCAAGTTTGAGTCTCTGGATCAAATACCTCTGCCCATGTATCCTCATGAGCGCAATGCTCGGACCCTCCAAAAACGTATATCTTCCCGTCTACAAAGCATGCCGATGCGGAAGCTCGAGGCATATTCATGGACTTAATGCGGTGCCATGTGTGACAGTAACAATCGAGGAACGAGACATCAGAAGTAGGAATGCCGTTGATGAGTCCACCAATGACAAAGATCCCCCCATCCACCACAACGAAAGAAGATGAATCCGGAACCTGATAAGGGTTCGAGGGGATTGGGTTCAGCCGTCGATTAGGGGTAAGGATGAACCAGCGTGGAGTTGGGTTAGGAAAGACTTTCATGCATACGTACATAGACACGTCGGTGCAACCCATCTCCTGTCTCAAGTTGAAGAGCCTAGAGGAAGCTACCATAGCGCGGTGGATCTTGGAGACGAGAGATAAGGCCGCGTGGTCGAATCTCGAAAGGTGAGCCAAGCATATCAGAGCTATCTCATCTGGTAACATAGACCACGACGTAGTCGTCTCCTTCGTCTTCTTCCTCCTTTTACTGTCCGGTGGCACTTCTGAAGCGTAACAATTGGACATCGTCAATCCCAATTCCCAATTAACCCTGTTAATCCTTCCCGATGAAACGGTTTTATAGAACTTTATGGTTTCTGATTTTTATCTTTTTTTTAGTTAACATTTTATGGTTCTTATAAAACCGCAAATTTCCTCCTTTCTTTTCGTTAATATGTTGCCGATTTCCATTTATTTTTAGGGATTTTTACGAGAAATTTGATCTCCGTTATTACTTGATAGAACTTAGAGTCACACTCTATTAAATAATTCCTTGTCAAATTTAATTTTAGCTATAGGGTCCGCATATGTTGGCTTCAATAATCCGAGAGATTAGGAGCCATTCTTTTCTTTATTGTAGTTTGGAGTTGTTTTAATTTACACTGTTGAATTGGTTGATTGGAATTTAGAATTTTAAGCATTGTGATCGACGTAGGGAACTTAATGATGAGTTTCAGCTGAATTCTTCATGTGGCATCAGTGTTGTGTACCAACCAAGTAGAGAGTCTATAGGTTCTAAGTCCACTGACACTACAGAGACAGAGGAAGCCAAACTAGGGGTCAATAGGCGACATTACATTATGTCTGGTCCAATCTGGTTCACTTATTGGGTTATATTTTTAAAAAAATTCTTATTCTACTGCATCAAAGGTAGATATTACAGGTTATGATGGGTTTCTTATGCTTACTTTGTGCTACATGGTTTAGTTTTTTTTTATGTTAAGGCTATTTCTTCTTCTCCAGTGACATTTTGGAGATGAGACTTGCTTGTAACGCCATTGTTTTCATCATAAGTGTTGTTCTCTTCGGATGTAACGTAGAAACTCCAGAGAGAAACACAGCTGTGGTGAACACAAAGAGAAAACGAAAGATTTGATTTTGTGTGTGTTTAACAATGATTGGGAGAGGAACTAATTAGAGTTTTAGTGTAATGTACTTTTCAACTAATTAGAGTTTTAGTGTAATGTACCTCTCAATTTACCGGATTTTTTGGGATGGGATTTGCCATCACTCTCTTTCCTTTTTCGATCCATGGCTAATTCAGGAAGAGAGTAAATTCAGGAGCGCTAAATCAGGAAGAGATCAATATTTGAAAAAATGGGCAAGATTGATGATTGGAAAGATACGTTGAAACCCAAATTTCCGGAGCTAATCTCCTTTTAAATACCTTCTATTTCCCCAACAGTAAGAATTTAAAACAGATGCAAGATTGCCCCATTGCCAAGGCACTGTGTTAGTCGATAGTTATATTTCGCATGTTATTTTGATGTGTTTTAGGCTCATCTAACCTAATAAAATCATTTTTTTTCAAAAATTATAGGTTAGAGATCAAATCAGTTTAAAATAAAAAAATTTAGGATTACAATTAGACTAGTCTTGCCAGATAGGTCGAATCTCATTTAAAACACTTTACAAAACCAGGAACGAAGATCAATGCTCACCAAAACTAGATTTACAACTTAACAAATAAAAGTAATTTTAAGACATAACTTAAATGTGATTAGATATTAGATAAAAATAGCATATATATTTTATAAAATATTACACATCCATGAAAAGTCTTAACAGTAAAACAAAGATTAATTAGTAAAAGATAGAATTTGATTCAATCACCGGATGCACTGTATTACAATGTCCATGAGTAAAAGAGTCATTCCTCCACGTCGTCTTCGTCGTCCACATCGTCGTTGTTGGCAGTGGCGAGAGAAAGTCCAATTCAACATTGCCCAAAATCAAATATCGTATGATATTTTCTCAGAAAAAGGCATTCCAAAAGTATTGTATATAAATATAAAAAAAGCAAAAAATATTACTATTAATTTATTTATATAATATCTAAGAAACAATATATAACTAAACTTACTAATACTCGGCAATTTCATGTCGGAAATACATAGGTCTGAAAATACTTGAGTGTCGTCTTCGAAGTTGTCCATTTGGGATGAGATACTATATATATATATATATATATATATATATATATATATATATATTAAAATGTGCATTAGAATAGAAAATTAATAATTATAAGAAAAAAAATTTGTAAGAAAACTTACCTATCAACCGAGAATTTGAGAATTAATCTCTCGGATAATGAGCTACATAAATATAAATTACACAATGTATTAGTAAACAATATTTAATTCATATTAAAAATTGAACAAAATTAAATCCTTTACTAACCACAGGACTGTATATATACATAAAGCTCGTATGTACTAAAGCTTTATTGGTGAGTAATCCTAAAAAAAAAATTCTCATGTACTAAAAAACACTCACACACATATATATATATATACACACACATAAACGCATTATGTTTAATTAATTATTACGCGGATATCCCACGACTCGGATGGCAAGCATCCTAATGATCCATCTATCATCTTCAACGAAGTTGAAGTATAAATGCTCATCGAAAAAATGATTCGGATCAGCATCCCCAAATATTATTTCTCCTCCCAAATTAAAGCCGTCCTCATAGTAATTCCATAGCCACACCGAAAATATATTTTGATGTAAAAACCTTTGATTCATCATATTTCTCCTAAAATTATTTCTAATAAAATATAATTATATTTTTATTTTTTTATTTGTTATTTAAATATAATTAATCTCATAACTCTATTAATATTTTGACAATAAATCATTGTATATAATAAATATCACATACATAAATTTATTTGTTATATACAATGATTTATTTTCAAAATATTAATAAAGTTATGAGATTAATTATATTTAGATAACAAATAAAAATAGAAATATAACTATATTTTACTGGAAATAGTTTTAGGAGAAATATGATGAATCAAAGGCTCTTACATCAAAATATATTTTCGGTGTGGCTATGAAATTACTATGAGGACGGCTTTAATTTGGGAAGAGAAATAATATTTGGGGATGCTGATCCGAATCATTTTTTCGATGAGCATTTATACTTCAACTTCGTTGAAGGTGAGAGATGGATCATTAGGATGCCTGCCATCCGAGTTGTGGGATATCCAAATAATAATTAATTAAACATAATGTGTTTATGTGTGTATATATATGTCTGTGGGTGTTTTTTAGTACATGAAAATATTTTTTTCAGGATTACTCACCAATAAAGCTTTAATCCATACGGACTGTATGTATATATACGGTCCTCGGGTTAGTAAAGGATTTAATTTTGTTTAAATTTTACTATGTATTAAATACTGTTTACTAGTACAATGTGTAATTTATATTTATGTAGCTAATTATCCGAGAGATTAATTCTCAAATTCTCGGTTGACATGTAAATTTTTTTACAACATTTTTTCTTATAATTATCAATTTTAAATTCTAATGCACTTTAAAAAAATATATATAGTATCTCATCCCAAATGGACAACTTCGAGGACGACACTCGAGTATTTTCAGACCTATGTATTTCCGACATGGAATTGCCGAATATTATTAAGTTTAGTTATATATTGTTTCTTAGATATTATATAAATAAATTAATAGTAACAATTTTTGCTTTTATTTTATTTATATACAATACTTTTATAATGTCTTTTTGAAAGAAAATATCATACGATATTTGATTTTGGGCAATGCCGAATTGGACTTTATCTCGTCACTGTCGCCAACGATGATGTGGACGACAAAGACGACGTGGAGGAGTGACTCTTTTACTCAAGGACATTGTGATGCAGCGCATCCGGTGATTGAATCAAATTCTATCTTTTACTAATTAATTTTTTTTACTATTAAGATTTTTCATGGGTGTGTAATATTTTATGAAATATGTATGTTATTTTTTTCTAATATCTAATCATATTTAAGTTATGTCTTAAATTTACAATTATTTGTTTAAGTTATGAATCTAGTTTTGGTGAGCATAAATCTTCATCCTGATTTTATAATGTGTTTTAAATTAGATTCGATCTATGTGAAAATACCAGTCTAATTGTGATACTAAATTTATTATTATTATTTTAAACAGATTTGATCTCCAGAATATTTCTTGAAAAAGTGATTTTGTTAGGTTAGATGGGCTAAACACATCAAAATAACTTACAATCTAAATTTAACGGTGAATTGCAAGAGCAAATGTGATTCCAACAATCTCTCCTTCTAGAATTTCTGATGAAGATTCTTCCTCCCCGACAAAACCCTAAAAATCGAAACCAGACACCAGCAAAACCGAGTTAGCACTTAGCAGATGTAAAATAAACAGAGAAACAAAGACATTTGAGAAAACCCCATAAATTTCGAAAGAAAAATCAAGTCTTTGAAAAAAGAAATTGAAGAACAACTTCTCAAATCTGTAAAAGAAACAATTTTCTACTCGTTTCCACAAAATCGAAGCAGTATTATATAAAAACACAGCAAACCCCAAGAACACGGCGGAGTCATGATCGAGCATCGAAAGATAATTAAGAGTTGGGTAAGACGAAATACCTAAGAATTCAGCAGCGTATTTGACCCGATTTGGTTCCTGAACCGGAGAAGAAATGAAACAACAGGAAGGGTTTTGCAGGTGAAAAGAGGGAGAATCTGAGTGAGAGAGAGAGAGTGAAAATGGCGGACCTTTTCTTGCAAGAGAGAGAGAGCCAGAAGGAAGAAGAATTGCGAGAGAATAAGTTTTGGAGTCGAGTGACACTGCTTTTCTCTCCCTAGATCTTTGTGCGACACTGGTGAACGATTAAAGTCGATAAGGGCCCTGTAAAAGAGTAAATGATGGTCTTTGAAAAGGACTTTGTAATAAAGGAGTACGATATATGAAACATGCATGCAACTCTATATATAATTTATTTATCGAGCTATATTTAATAGGGTCATGTCCACTCAAACCAAGTTTTGTTTGTATATTCTGTATAAATTATTCACCATACTTTCTTTTTCAGATACGAGATACCAATCTTTTTAAAAAAATTGTATTTGTATAAGAAATACACATATATTCTTGGAATAATTGGCTTAAAAATCCCTTTTGAAATGAAAATTCGGAAACTAAAATAAATTCAAATTTTTGTACAAACTAACATATGCAATTACACTCCACCCCCATATGCTAGAAGAATTTTATAGTTTTCCGGCAAAAACTTGAATAGTGGGTAATAGCAGAAGACAACGACCTCTCATTAATTTTGATGCCAATGACACCGATCAGAATCGAAAATGATAAAGAGACAGGGAAAGAGAGTCACAATCGAAAAAAGAGCTTTAATCGTTGTATCATAACATGATAAAGGTAAACTGTTATGTTAATTTTTTTTTTTTTTAATTGTTTTGGTCAAAGTTGCTGTCCAGTGCACCGTTTGATATTTCATTTTCTTTGGTAATTGAGTTCTCACCTAAGTAAAAACTAATCAGAAAATGTACACACGTCTTATGAATATGAAGTAGACTTTAAGAGTGCAACGGATTAATATCTACTTTTGACCTTAAAAATCAATAAGATTCAACCACTGTATTTCTAATTAATATGGTGTTGTCACTTTGTATGATCATCAAGTTTAATTCTTTTGATTCATTAAATGTGTTGACTGTTGACATAAGTATGAGAATTGAAAGAAAAAAAAAAAAGTTTGAGAATTGATAATCTTTATTGCACCTTAAGACAAAAACCTTGGATCCTCTGAGTCTCTGACTAAACCTAAAAGACTAAAATAGATAGTAGTATATAAGAAAAAACCCATATCAGTTCCCAATGTATACAAAATGAATTTCTATACAAAAATCATCACTAACCCTAAATTATTCTGAATCAAAATGCAGACTAATAAAAAAAAACCTATAACCATCACAGAGAAATTCCTAGTAGTCAAAAGTGTGTAAAACACTTAGCCACTAGAATCAAACCATTTACACATACAGTATCATTTTCAAGTAAACAATGCCACAGAGACGCTGGACAATTGCTCTTTCCTCTTAGCCTTGGTCCAACGATAATGACTCGGTGCGTTAGGAGGCTTTATATCGTCCTCTTGATGGCTCGAATCCGAAATCTCCTCGAGCTCGACCGAGTTTCGAAAAGCTCGAGTCTTTTTTGGTGTGGTGTACGCAAAGTGTAACCTTTTGGCTATCAAACTCTGTTACAGTTCAAAAATTGCAATAAGAACAATGAATCAATCAAACTCAAATGATGAAACCAAATGGAACTTACAGCTTCTCTGATTGATTTAGATACGAGTTTTAGACTCTTGAGATCCTCATGATCAACACCACAAATCACTCGAATCTGTATAATAATTAGATTATTAATAAAGGATCATAATCAAAATCGAATCAGATTAAGCAAAACTAAATCAAACTCATTTACCAAGAGTTCTTGAGGCAGAGATTCAAGGGGAGATTTCTCAGAGGACGAAGAAGAAGAAATCATTGTTCTGCTTCGTTGTCTCTTCAACGAACTCTTCACCGGCGGCGATTCAGATACTACCGGAATCTCAGCGGCCGATCTAGATAGAGATTCACGAACACTACTCGAAATCAAAATCCTTTTCCTCCCTAATACTCTCGTGAACCTCACTGATCCTAAACCTAACTCTAATTCCTCTTCCTCGCCGTGAAATCTACCATTTGAGTTCATCACGAATCCTCTCTTCGTTAACGCCATTGTTGTTCTTCTTCTGCTTCCTTCACTGAGAAACAGATTCTCCGAGAACCACTCAACTAATTTAACAGCACTCGAGAGCCAAAGCTCACCGATGAAATGGAGATAATGGATCATTTAGAACGCCAAAACAACACAGATCAAAGCAGAGAGAGATTGTTGCTCGGATTCGAGAGAGAAGACACGTGGCGGTTTACTGTTGGACAGCCGTCATTGGCGTTTTGTGTTTCGATCAGTCCAAGTTAAGTTTAGCTTATGTATCAGTTACTGTACAAGATAAACCCGTTTTATTCGGGAGAGAAAATCATTGGCATGCTTGCGGGTCCATAGGATTATCAGTGTTCTGTCTATTGATTGTTTGCCACGTGTATGTTTAGGTAGTTTGAACGGTATGGATTTAATGAGCAGACAGAGTTTTGTGGTTTTGAAACAGAGGAGTCTGGCTTGAGTTCATTGGATTCTAAAAACACGTCGAGATAAGTATGGGAATTTGTTTTTTGTTTTTGTTTAAAAAGGCACAAAAAGATAAGAATATGCCATTTCTTTTTGGATAAGACTAATACTGTTTTGATTCCTTTTAAACTTAAATTTATGTTAAGGCTATTTCGTCTCCTCCTGTGACATTTTGGAGATGAGACTTGCTTGTTTCGCCATTGTCTTCATCATAAGTGTTGTTCTCTTCGGACGTAACGTAGAAACTCCAGAGAGATACACAGTTCTCATCAGCTGTGGTGACCACAAAGAGAATGGGAAGATTTGAGAATTTGGGTTAAACATTGATGGGAGAGGAACTAATTAGCGTTTTAGTGTAATGTACCTTTTAATTGAAGATCGTTCTTATCTTCATCGTCATCATCAGGAATTGCAAAACGTCTGTGACCAGAGGATGTAGCAGCCATTGGAAGGTATGGGTGGAAAGAGAAAGCATTCACGGTATCTGCATTAATGGGATGGAGTAATATGCCGAAGTTAGGATATCATCAAGAATTGGAGAATTTACTGAAGAACCAAGTGTTAGCTACCTGAAGCAGCTTGATATCCAGAAACCCAGTTTCCGGTTTGTAAATCGTACATGTGAACGAGTCCATCCTGGAATAAAAGACAAAGAGGAATGAGAAAATGGTTACATGATTTCACCACAAGTGCGTTAATAGAGGATAAAAGATTGCTTTCAATTTTTCTAATTAAGGGAAAACGAACATCAAAAGTACCTGACCACCAGTAGCTAAATGTCGACCACATGGCTCAATATCAAAGAATACACGCTGGTTTGTGTTCTCAGTTGCTCTGTACAATCTGATACACAAATATAAATGATACATTTCAAACATATTTCAACTTTATAAGAGCTTCAACATCTACCATTTCATCAAGCTAAGACTTCTAGTAAATTGAACATTGATGTAGCATTAAGTTTTTGCTTCTCATGGCACATTAAGTATTCATATTGTTTAAAGCACTCGTTCTGGCTTCTAGATTATATTGTAAAACAAGTATGAGCTGAGAAACCAAAGACTACCCAAACAAAAAGAAAGAAGTAAATACTCACTTATAGACTATCTCAACAGATTTCCGAATATCCCAGCAAAGAATGTAAGGATCCTGAAGAAGGGCAAACAAAAAAGAAACATTTGGGTAAGGTTACGACGATACATGGTCCTATTACATAATCATACTTTAATACTGGACACCAAGGAGAATATCTCTAGACGGATGATACTTTCCTCCAAAAAGGGTTATCCTTAAAATGGAAATCAAGTTGTGATATAATATGCTCCAGACAACATTCAGCGGAAAAAATGTTTATAACAGTATGTTACCTTGCGACCTCCTGTATATAAATAGTTCCCATCCTTTGAAAACTGGACCTAAAAGCAAGAAAAATTTCGATCAATAATTGATCATATCCTAATGGACAAAAATAAGGCAACAATTAGTGGTCATTGCTTACATGCGTAACACCGCCTTCTTGACCATGTAAAACATACAATAGCTCCATGTTATCTTCTCTGTAAATCCCAGTAGTCTGCCCGTAAGATCCCACAGCCAACATTCCAGAATTAGTTGGGGAGAAAGCAAGAGTAGATAATATACCTGGAAATTATAAACCATTAAAAGGTTGTTCTTGTTTCTGTATAATCTGTAATAATAATATTATGCAGCATCTGAGTGGTAAACGAAGAAAAAAACCTGCTTGGCCCTCTTTGTTTTTCTGTAGAGTTGAATATTGCCCAAAATCTCTTCCAGGACGATGAAGATCAAACACTCTGATGAAGCTGTTGTAACCAGCAAAGATCCTAAAGCCATAACACAGCCAAATGAATATAGACGACTGTTAATCAAATTCTCTACCATGTGGGAAGATGGAAAAAACTTAGATGAAGTTCTTGCTTACTTGGTTCCATCAGGATTAAATCCAACAGAAAATGCAGCAGTTATTTCATCCATAGCATCATAGGCTCGGTACGTGCACCGAAGCTGCCATTGTTTTATACACATGTAAATAATCAGATGCAAACAAAAAATGATGGTAGAATAACTCTCCAGTAAACATGTTAAGTTTCATGGAAAAATCAGCACCTCACCAGAAGTACTATCCCAAAGATGTATCGGATGGTCTCTAGTGGACGTAGCAAAGACACATGTTAAAGGGTCTGAAATCAATCAGTGAACAGCCAAAATCAGTAATTCAAATTGATGAAATAATTAAGCAAAAGATACAAACAGAAACCCTTTATTACCTGAGACTGACATGTAAGGATACCAACAGAAATCATAGACAGATTCACCCTCATTCACAAGAAGACTCGCACCATACGAATCTACAAATCCAAAATGTGCAAGGAAATCAATAAACACAGTAACACACCATGAATCACAAAATTACTTCACATTTTTGATTTTTATAGCATTTGCCACAACATAAAAAAGTCATATGGAAAAGCTAACCTTCTTCAGGGACTGGCACTCCATAGCCATTAGAATCCCCTCCATCTTGTGGCCTGATGGGGCAAATTTGCAAAACTAAAGATTCAACAGAGAACTAAAACTACCCAAACATACAAAATTATTGAAACTTAAAGCTACAAAAATATTTCAAATTGAAATGATTCAACTTACAGATGAAACAGACTAAGTGTATTATCCTCAGAGCTTGCAAGGAAACATGAACCATCAGGTGACCTATATAAGAAACAGTAACAATTCAATACCTCAAAAGTTAAGGAGAAGAAAAAAAAACAAACTTTGAGAAAGAACAAAACCCTAATCAAGAGAGTGAATTTGAAACAAGAAGAAAAGGGTACCATTTAAGACCCTTGAGGAAATTATTAGGGTTTCGAGCGGTCCTGAACTGCTTAGAGAAATGGTGCGTTCTATAAGGAGAGACATCAAATCTCATAGTAGGCCAGGATGAGTTTTGTTCTCCTGATTCTACCTTAAGTCCACCATTTTCTTCGGCTACTGCTTCTTCTTCACCCATCTTCTTCGTCAGAGCTTCTCGAAAAAAGCAGCAGAGAGGTGTACTTTCGTTCTAAACCCCAGTCAAAATCTCCAAAACCTGAACCGGGTTTTCAATCTCAGACCGACAATTGAACCGAAATTAAACCAAAAACCGGGTTAGGTATTTTTATTGGAATTTGGAAGAAAAGCCCGCCAGGTTTGTCATTAGTGCGTCTCTCTCTGCTCCCGGCGGATCGGCGACCACCGTCTTCTTTCCTTTATCCACTCTCTACAGCTTTTTTCTCAAGTGTTTCTCTCTGGTTACTTACTTCCTACAGCTTTGCTAGAAATTGAAAATTAGAATATTAACCCCTAATCCCAAAAACCTCGGAATGTCGGAAATGGCGAGTGACGAGGAAGAAAATATCATTCCTTTCCAGCTACAGTTCGACAAGCCCATACCTTTTCAGGTTTTGGTTCTACTTCTGCTCAAAGTTCGTGTCTTTTTTATGATTTAAAGGAATTTAGATGGATATATATGTTCAATTTCATTAGATTAAGATAGCTGAGTGGAACCCGGAGAAGGATTTATTGGCAATGGTTACTGAGGACTCCAACATTTTGCTGCTCCAGGTAAAGTTTTTCTCTTTTGGTTAAAAGGTGACAATTTTGAATACAAGATGGTTCAGCTTGATGAAAGAAAATTTGTTATTTGCTGAAACTGAAAGTGGAATGCAATTTGAAGTAGGTTGTCAATAGTAGAAGGATTACTCAGTTAGTCAGATATTGCTGGTACTAAGTGTATTTCCTTTCTTTTGGTTTATAGGAAAGCCTGTTACTTCTTTATGTTGGCGTCCTGATGGTAAAGCCATAGCTGTTGGGCTTGAGGATGGAACCATTGCGCTTCACGATGTTGAGGCAAGTTTGGATTGAAACTAATCCATGTTTTACATGATGACGTTGTTGATAGGCTGAATATTCCTTTTAAAACTATGCTGTATAGAAACTAGTATTATGTTTTATTTATAAAGGAACATGCTTATCAAAAAGTGGTTAATACTCTTTTCATGCAGAATGGGAAGCTATTAAGGAACTTAAAGCCCCATGATGTAGCTGTCGTGTGTCTTAACTAGGAGGAGGATGGACAATCCAATACTGTATGTTTTCTCCTCTGACTAGTCGTACAGAAACTTATGTTTGGTTTAGGTATCTATATTTATGCTGAGAAAAATAAGAAAGTTTCTCTTACCAATCCCAGTTGTGCTTACTTTTTCTTAGAGTTTGGTTTTCAGGATGAAAGTGGTAATTTCTCAGTTTATGAGGACCGGACCTCCCGTTTTTTCCCTCCTGCTCCAAGAGCTCCGAAGATGCCTGGATTGGTAGCTGGTGACTCCAGTTGCAGAACTATCCAATACCTCATATCGGAAGTTCAACATTCTTTGCAGTGGTGATCGTGATGGGATCATATGCTTCAGTATATTTGGAATATTTCAGATAGGGAAGATTGTAAGTCGCTCTTTTGACTGTAAATAATTAGTAAACCGTAAATACCCATTCATGTATCATGGTTGATGATGCTTCATCATCTTTCCATTCTGTTTGCATATAGAATTGCAGGATGCTTAATGAATTTTCAACACTGTTTCTACATGGAAATTGTTTTCTGAAATCTTTAGTTGCTCTTTTATTACAAGTTAATATTGTTAGGGGTAAAGTTTACGATTTGTAAGTTTTTTGTTTCTTTTCTAGCTATGAGCAAATATTCTGTTGTTTTATTTCTAGTTTACATCTTATTTCTCTTGTTTCATGTGTTTGCTCTGCTGCTCCTACATTACCATGATCAGAACATACACGAGCTGTCTGTTCCTGTGCCCCATCTGGATGAGCATGCCTCTTGCAAACTTTTTAATGCTTCCATTTATAAGGTACTTGGATCCTTTCAAGAGCCATGCTTTCCAAATGATATAAATGGCCTCTCGTTATTTCTCATGTCTCAGACTGTAAATGCCTGTTGTGGAAACAAAGAAAGGCGAGCTTGGTATATGATAAGGAGTCTTTAGATTCAAATTAATTATTTGTATATTTCATTTCTTAGGTTGCTTTGTCGAAAGACCTCTGCCGTCTGGTAGTAATGTGCACAGGAGAGCTTAGGGATTGTGATATCAAGCCAAGAGAGGAAAAAATAAATGTTCAAGATCTGCCTGGGTTGCATTGCCTTGTAATGGACACATCTATATTTTGGAAGAGGTAAATACACCAACCTATCTATACTCTGCCGCTGCTTCTTTCTTTTGTTCCTTCTCATTGTTTTAATAACGTTTAATAATTGGCACTGTTTTTCTGCCTTGAATCTGTCATATTCGTTATCTCTTCTAATTTTTATTTCAGGAAATATGATCTTCATCAGGTTGCTCAACAAGCTTCTAACATTGAAGATTTGACCGACGTTATTCGAGCATCCCTGTCAGTTATGACCAAACAATGGGCGGATGCAATGAAAACTTTTCATGACAAGTTTATTCTCTTTCCAACTTGATCATTGATAATGGTATTTGCCACTATCAGTTTGTTGGTTGAGGTTTTTCTCTTATGCTTTATTGCTGATAGATTTACAGGGCTTTGTTGCTTTTCTCCTAGGACTGGAATCATCTACTCAAGAAGAATTTCTTAGCCTTTTGGGTGGTGCACGAATAAGTCCAGCGCTTAATCAGTTTTTAGTTAACTCTCTTGGCGAAGTGGTAAGCTTTACTTGTTTGATCTTTTTCAGGGTACTAGCTTTATCATATTCCACTAAGTAGTTCTCTTGTTCAGTAGGGTGTGAAGCGTGTTTTAAAGTCAGAATGTGGTATAGGAAAAGAGCTTCAGCAGGTTGTCCTTGACCATCTTCAGGTACAGTATTCTTTACATTCCTGAAAATGGAGTTATAATTTTTAGACTAAGTAGCGTTTATTTATACAGCTAATACTTTTTAGAGAGTTTTGTCACGAATTAAGCTTTCTTTTTCAGCCTGCAGCTGAAATTATCGGATTCAGGATGGGTGAATTAAGAGGTCTATCGAGGTGGCGTGCACGATACCAAGGCATTGGTTTGGATGAGATGCTCCTTAATGAAGCCACTGAAAATACTGGTCTGCTACTTGTACAAGTGCAACGGTTTATGATGGTACTATCTTCTGTTGTCCAACAGGTACAGAGGTGTGCAGTTCTTTTAACTCTGAAAATCATAGTTATTTAGTATGTTGGCTGAATTATAATACTTTTTGTTTCAGTTCTCAAATTTCTTCAACTGGCTCGTCAGAAGTATAAAGTATCTTATGCAAGAACCGAATGATCAGCTTTTGTCATACAACAGGTATGCACATGTGTTTTTATGTTGTTAAAGGTGTTAAAGCCAAATCTTTGCAGTTACATGGTTTGTTTCTGTGGCAGTGAACTCCTTGTGGTATTCTTGAAGTTCTTATATGATCAAGATCCTGTGAAAGACCTCTTGGAGCTATCTGAAGCTGGTGATGACATTGAAATTGATCTGTAGGTCAACTCTTTCTATGTCTGTGCTTTTACCTACCTTTTCTGATTACTTATCTTGTAGTCGAGCAGAATCTCTGTCAGGTTACCTAAATTTTTAAGCCATTTATAACCACATTCAATAGGGGTAGTCCAATGTGATATCACGAATGAAAATCGGAGCAGGTTTCTCTAACCACACTAAAACGAAATTCAGATATGGGTAATGTGTGTGCGTTTGTGAAGCATGAAGTCCATTGTATCCTCCGTAGCTGTTCATTCATTTTGTTTTACTTCATTTCATTTAAACTCTTAATGTTTTAATGTCCCAGGAAAACCATCGGAAGAGTCAAAGAGTTACTTCAGTTTGGAGGGTTTTCAGAGTGTGATTTTCTGCAGAGGACATTGGCTAAGGAATTCCAACACATGGAGTCTAGGTATTTTCTTTACATTTTCACTTTTAAAACATAAAGTTTCTTAAAAATGCTGCATCATGGAGCACAACGTTGGTAAACTGATACGTGTAAAAGGCTATGGTAGAGACAAAGGTCTGATACCATGGCTTTGCCTTGGCATTTTGAAATACAACATGAACAACCATATTTATGGTATTGGAGTTTACTTGCAAAAAAAAGTGTACTGAGTCTTTATAGTCTGGTCATACTTTCTCATGGCTTTCTCTGACTAGACGTCAAATTCTGATTTTAATGCTTTAACAATTTTAGCTTCAAGATGGCTCTTCAAATGCCCTTTACAACAATATCAAGAAAGATATCATGTATGAAGTTGTTGCCGCTTTGCCCTCTTCAGTTGTCAACAACGCAAACACCTACAGCAATTCCCATGTCTCTTTCCTTCTATAAGGTACTTGCAGCAACAATCTTAATGCACTTTATTATGATCCCATAGGGCATCCTTAGGAAGAGATTGCTGATTGCTATCTCCAAAGTTTTCATGTGCTCCTGATATGCTAAAGTCTTTGTTTGCTTGTGCAGAATGAACTTTCTGAGGATACACCTTGTCAAAGTGGGTACACTGATTACATATCTTTTCAAGTCCCCGAAGAAACCTTCCCAGAGATTCCGAACTGTGTTGGCATAGCTAAGGGTTTTAAGCAGAACGCCAACAATGAGAAAAATGGTTATACTTCTCTGGAAGCCGTTTTGTTATCTGTACCTAATGGCTACACTTGTGTCGATTTGTCTCTCTACAAGGTGAATACTCACTCTATTTTGCAGCACTGGTTGATTTTACCTTTTTATATCTTTTGGAGTTTCCTTATAAACCCTCTGACTGATTTTGAAACAGGATAAAGAACTTGTTTTATTATTGAACAAGACAAGCGCAAATTCCAAAGGCTCGGGAGAAGCATGTATGATGGTTGTACAAACTGGTGACCTTCCATTCATTTCCATTTCAAGATCTAGTTCTCTAAACCAGTGGGAACTAGAGGATTTGAAGGGATTACTAATTTCAATCATTCTCATCGCCGTTTTTTTGAAAATTAACCATGGGAAGGTTGTGTAAGAACTTATGCATCTTGAAACGATATTCTTTACTATAAAACCTCACAAATCAGCTTTTCTCCAGGATGCGATTGTTAACCTGGAAATGGAGAATGAAAAGGTTCGCAAAGTTCCACATTCTGTCATTGCTCCTCTAGCAGTAAGCGGTAAGAGCTTAATTTTCTGTCTTTTTTTCTTCCTTCAAACTAGAAATGCTTTTTCAAAATCATGAAATAATTTGCTTAACTATATAAAATTCTTACAGCTTCAAGAGGAGTGGCTTGTGTTTTTGCTGAAAGAAGACGAGCTTTGGTGTACATATTGGAAGAAGATGAAGATGAAGAAATCTCTGATGACAAGTAAACCTCCTCCAATGCCTGCTTTGATTGTTGTTTGTGTAGATTATTATTTCTAAGTTAAGAAACAGAAACTTGACTACTAGATCTGAGACCTATTGATAATCTTGATCTGTTTTGTTCCTATAGGAGCTGCATTAAGACCAAGAAGCACAGAAAACAAAGCGATTGTTGTAAGGGAAGTCGAGAAGAATGTCTGGCCAGCGATAGAAACGGGGAAGGTAAAACCGGTGATTCACAAGTATTTACCATTGTCACAAGCAGCAGAAGCTCATAGCCTTATGGAGAGTAGCAACCATATTGGTAAGATTCTCCTTGAGACTTGATTCTCTGCAAAGGGAGAAATGTTCAGAGACAAGAGTTATGGTCAATAATCAATAAAATTCTGGTCGATTCTGTTCATAGATATCTCTCTACAAGAGTTTGTTTATTGGCTTTATGTATCTCTGCCGTGGTCAAAAAAACTATGTAACTATGGAACATATATATCAAATAAGCTGTTGTACACAAGGACGGTGCTGTTTTGGTGTCACCGCCTTCTCTCATTTCCTCTTATCTTCTTATTCTTTCTCCGAGCTCGCGTTTTTTAATTTGGCGGCATCAACAACAAAAGAAAAGCGCTTGACCGATTGGATAAAACCATGGCGACGGCTACAGGTACTCTGATCCGTTTTCAATTCATTTGTACGTTCCTAGTTGATGGTTCTCGATTTCCCTTCAATGGAAAAGGATTTAGGTTATGATTTTGTAGTTCATCACAAAGTTAGGGTTTGTCATAGTGTCTCTGATTTGGTACTGATTGATCAGATATTGAGAGATCAGAAATCATGAACTCGAGACCTAGAAATAATTGAAAAGCTGATGAATCAATGACCAGTCTTGTCAAGTTTTGAAAATATTCAATGCGTTTTTGTTTTTTTAACATGATCCTGCTGCTTTTGCAGTTTCTAGGGGAGCTCGTAGGAAGCAAATCAAATTAGAGGAAGCTCGTAAAGCTGGGCTTGCTCCGGCTGAGGTCGACGAGAATGTAGAGGAAATCAACCCCCACGTACCTGACTTTATGTTAAAAGCTCCATGGTATTATACCACGTCTGAAACACCGGTAAGCTTTAATTCTTCTATTGGTTCACTTGGTCTGTCTACTTGCTCGGACATGCACGCTGAATACTCTGTTTGTTTGTTTTTCCAGAGTTTTAAACATCAAAAGAATTGGAAACTTGATCCCTTTTGCACAGACGCATCATCATCGTATGACAGAGGTGCAAAGATCTATCAAGCCGAAACATACCGCAAGGGAGCCTGTGAAAAGTATGCCCTTCTTCCGCCTGTTTTTCCTCTTGACTTCAGATTATAGTTAGTTTTGACATTCATTCAGTCCCTTGAGTGTTGCTCAACATGTGTAGATTCTCTGTGATTGCTATGTCAAAACACGCTTTTTAAGTTTTGTACTTGCTGCTCCATTCTCTAACTTGGCTTGGCGTGTCTATTTTTCCTTGAAGCTGTGGTGCAATTACTCACGATGCGAAAGCATGCACGGAGAGGCCCCGTAAACTTGGAGCAAAATTCACAAGCAAGAACATTGAACCCGACGAGAAAATCCAGTCTCTTAAACTCAACTATGATGGCAAGAGGGACCGATGGAACGGTTATGATTCTTCAACCTACCATCGCGTGCAAGAGCTTTATGACGCTAAAGAAGACGCACGTAAGAAGTACCTTAAGGACGAGAAGCTTAAGAAGCTAGAGGAGAAACACAAGCACCAAGAAGTTAATGACCCAACCAGCGATTGGGATGAAGAAGATGATGACTTAAGAGTCGACGAAGCCAAGGTTGACGGGAGCAAGCAGATGGACTTTGCAAAGGTTGAAAAGCGCGTTCGATCAACTGGTGGTGGTAGCACAGGAACCGTAAGGTATGGACTACTCATCTACACGACATCTTATCTCTCATCGCACAGGTTAAATTTGTTTGCTCTTTTGGATGCTTTTATTTGATGGGTGTAACCTTTTCTTCTTCCTCAGGAATCTGCGTATCAGAGAAGACAAAGCTAAATACCTGTATAACCTTGATGCCGACTCCGCCCATTATGACCCTAAGAGTCGGTCCATGCGTGAAGACCCGCTCCCAGATGCAGATCCAAATCAAAAATTTTATTCGGTTAGCTGCTTTGACTCTTCGTTTATCATTCGGGTAGTTGTATCAAGTCCTTCAATTTAACTCGCGGCCCTTGCTGTAGTAAAACTTGTAATCATAATACTTGTCATTGGAAGCTTTTCTTTTGGTGTGGTAGTTGGCTATTACGATTTACGACAAAATTCTAAAAACATCCTAGGAAGAAGATTGCGAGTCATGCCATTGCCAAAGCACTGTGTTTCTTCGAGATAGATATTTCGAATGTTATTTTGATGTGTTTCAGAACCATCTAACCTAACAAAATCACTTTTTCAAGGAATATATATGCTAGAGATGACATCAAATATTAAAAGGTCTTAAAAGCTTAATTAATTCTCATTACCAAAGAAAAAAAATAAAAAGCTTAATTAGTTCTTACCAAAAAAAAAAAACAAAGCTTAAAGTAAAGATGTGATGCGCTGCATCATAATGTCCATGAGTGAACGAGTCTTTCCAAGTCGTCCACACCGTTCTCGTCGTTCACGTCGTCCACACCGTCCTCGTCGTTCACGTCGTCGTAGCCGGAAGTGGCGAGAGAAAATCCGATTTGGTGGTGCCCAAAATCAAATATCGTATGATATTTTCTGAGAAAAGGCACTCCAATAATACTGTAGATAAATAAATAAATAAAAAGCAAATAATGTTATTAATAGTTTATTTATAGAATATCTAAGAAAAAATATACAACTAAACTTACAAATATCCGGGTATTTCATGTGGGAAATATATAGGTCTGAAAATACTCGAAGATCCGTCTAATCACCACAACTAAACTTACAAAGATCTGTCTAATTACCACAAATACATAGGTATGAAAATACTGAAAATACACGTCTACCACCACAAAATTGAGAATTAATCTCTCGGATAATGAGCTACAGAAATAAATAGAAATAATAAATTCAATTAGTAAACAATATTTGATACATAATAGAAATTAAAGAAAATTAAATCATTTACTAACCGGAGGACCGTATATATACGGACAGCCCGTATGGATTAAAGCTTTATGGGTGAGTAATCCTAAAAAAAAAAAAAAAAAAAAAGAAGTAAATCTCATGTACTAAAAAAACACACATATATAGATACACTCATTATTGTAATTAATTATTACCCTGATATCCGTCGACTTGGATGGAAGGCATCCTAATGATCCATCTATTACCTTCAATGAGGTTGAAGTATATATGCTCATCGACAAAATGATGAGATTATTTCTCCTCCCAAATTATAGCCGTCACAACAGTGGCCTGGTTCATAGTAATTCCGTAGCCACACCGAAAATATATTTCGATGTAAGAGCCTTTGATCCATCATATTTCTCCTAAAATTATTTCCAATAAAATATAATTATATTTCTTATTTTTATTTGTTATCTAAATATACTTAATCTCATACCTCTATTAATATTTTGACGATAAATCATTGTATAATAAATAAATTTATGTACGTGTCATATGTCCAAATATATACATTTATTTTCAGTAGACTTTTAGACACAACATCATCGTGAATATCATAGTTTCAACATCATATATAAATTCTATTAAATTTTTTATTTTACATATGTGAATGTCAATTAAAAGATAAAAAAATAAAGAAGAAATAAGTTTAATCTAATATGGCGTTAGAGAAAAAGAAATTGAAAAACCATGTTAGATATATATCATACTTTTTAAAATAAATTTAGAATCAAGTTTTTACAATGATGTTTTCATTGATTTTCAACCCATATAACAACATAAAAAATAGATAGAAGAATATATTGGAAGAAGATGAGAGAATAATTACTTATAAGATGATAATTTTAAATAGACAATGATGAATCTTTGAAAAAATATCAAAAAACTAATGTAACATATATATCATAAAGTCTCCAAAATTAAAATTTAGAATAACCCATACAACAACAACTACAAAAAAAAAAACACAAACCAAAAAACAAATATTTAAGATTTGAGATGGAAGAGGATGAGGCATGAGAGAATGAGAGGATGAGAAAATGGGTATTTATAGGATGAGAAGTGATAGGAGTTACAATTTTAAAAAAATTATGAGAATTATAATTCTAATTTATTGTGTGTTGAATAAAATTGAATGGAAAAATATACTTAATGAGTAATTTATTTGATTTCAGTTTTGTATTTAATTGTGTGTTAAATGTATATGATAAATGTGTTATATTTATGATTTAATTAGAAATAAATTTTTAAAAATTTGTTTTATTTTTTTTTAATTTACATTGCCAAGTGGACCAATAAGTAGAGAGTGAAATCTTACTTTTATATGTATGATTACACCATGTTTATTAGATAATAGTAATTATTTTAGTTTATTTAATTAGATTAAATGGCAAATTTTGATTAGCTAGTTAAAAAGGGGTGGATTTCTTTGAACCCAAAAATTGTTTCTTTCTTTTTAATATCTTACCATTTCATATACGTAATATTTAACTATATATATATATTAATTTATTCTGTAAGTTTTTTCAACAAAAGTATATATATGACGCATCGTGAATACGTGTTTTCACAAAACTGATCAATATTGTTATTAAAAACTCATATACAGAATTACATATTTCTTATTTATTGACTTTCAAATTTGTTTCGAGTTGACTTTAAGATTCATAGTTTTGACATCATATAAATTCTATTGCTTTAGACAAAAATCTAGACACCTACGTGATTTAGACGTAAATGATTTAAATAACATAAATTATTATTTTTTAGTCTTTTCAATGAAAATAGTGGTAGGATATTTTAGTATATATATATAGGGAGTTAAGGATTTAGATACCCCACTAGGATAAAAATTTACCAAATGGGTGGTGAAAAGATTGTTGGTGCTGGAGGGGAGAAAGCCAGACCAACAGTGCCAGTAATACCCGATGCATAATAGTAATCTACTGGTCGGGACTCAGAGATAACACAGACTACGTTGAAAAGTAAAGTCTCGAGGTTATCTTAAAAAAAAAACATATCGCGATTTCTCGTTGCACGCAAAGTAATGGTTCTAGGGAAAGCAACTTTTCTGTGTCTAAGTCGTAGATGTGCTACAGAACCTTAGAGAAAAACAAAAAGAAATAGAAAAAAAATTTGTTAATGATTTTATACAACTAAATAAGAAAAAAGCCTAGAAGTAAATTAAAAACAAATTACTTGGACATGGGTCATGCGTTAATGAATTAGCTCCGATATATTTATCGACCGCTGCTGCACCCGGAAAGAGGTGACATGGAACCCATATTTCATGGGCTCCGGTATCGAACATAACAGGAAACATATCGTCCTGAGTATCGACACTGATGTAACCATGATACCACAAATCGTAATAGGTTCTACGTCGTACACGGATTGCCATTTGCCTAATGAATAATAATAATTTAAAAAAAAACAAATTATCAATATAATGTTATTGTAATGATTTCTTGTCAATTTCAATCACACACTTATCAAAATCAAAATCAGACACCAGCAAAACCGAGTTAGCACTTAGCAGATATAGAAAAACATAGAAACAAAGACATTGGAGCTCTTTTAACTTGAGAAATTTTGTCATTGTAGCTATTTAGAAATATATATGTTAAAGTTAGTGAGATCCTAATTTAATTAGTATTACCTAATTATCTACAACAGTAGTTAATTTTGTTTTTAGTAGTTTCTCTATCCCACACTCTCCCAATCAATTTATTTCAAAAAAATTTATCCTCATGAATGTGTGTTTGTTCAAAAACTTTCATGATTTTTTTTTTTTTTTTCTAAGGAACCGATACGCATTTCATTTTTAGATAAAATATTATTGTAGGTACAATTAATAGAATTGATGTAATCTATTTAGATAATCTTTATCTCAGTACTAAAATGAATACTGTACAAATTATGCACACTGAACCAATTCATTATTAGGATCATTTGGATTTTGTATCATGAACAATATAATCTCCATCTATTTGATGTTTATTATTTTCTTCTGTTTTTAATCACCATTGGAAACCATATAACTAATATAGTAGTGTAAATATTGTAATTAAATCGACAAATCTTTATTTTTTATAAATATGCTCGGATATTTATGTAGAAAATGATGATTTGCTATCCATCTATTGCTCCTTCCCTAGTTTTGCAAATATTTTTTTCAAAAATTTGTTGTAGAGATCCTTTAATGTGAGCATTTAATCGTTATTTTTAGAGAAATGGTCTAATATTTTGCAAATCAAATTTTTGGACAAAAATAGCACTCAAATGAAGTATTTTGTTTTTAATTTTTAAAATTCATAATTAAGAAAATTCAAAAAATACACAAAATTATCGCCAAAATTCATCATCATCATTTCATTTATATCACTGCGCAACAACAATGGCGCCAAAGAAACCTTCGACGAAGGCTCTCTTTGTATCACCTAAAGAGCTAAGGTCACACGGCTTACCTACTGATTTTAGAAGAAAAAGCAAAAGCAAAGTTCATCGTGCAACTGAACTTGAGGTTGCTTTCAGACCAAAATAAGGGAGCTTTGGTCACTAGAGAAGCACAATACAAGATTTGGTTCAAATCAATTGAAGAAAATGGGCTTTAAAGAGGGTATGAGGCTCGGAGCCAAAGACCAAGGAATGTCTGAGCGTCTTTAGTAGGGCAGTCCCGGTTCACATGGATAGTGCGGAAGTGCAAGAGCGTGGAACTTTTTTTTTTGAAAACTTTACATATAAAAAAAGCCCAAATAATTTTTAAAAAATATTATCAATATAAGAATTATATTTTAAAATGTTCAATTTTTTTTAAAAAAAGTATAAAAGGCTCTAAAATTTTAAAATAACAATTTTTTTATAAAAAAGTTTAAATGTTTGAAAAAATTATTTTTAATAGGCCAAAAATTCTTATTTTCGTTAGACACCTAAATATATTGGGCCGGGCTGATAGTAGGCCATGATGAAGTTTTCTCTTCTTCACCCATCTTCGCGTGTAGACCTTTTTGTTCTAAAACCCCAGTGCCAAAAATCTCCAAAGCATGAACCGGGTTTCAATCTCAGACCGACAAATTGAACCGTTTGATATCTCTTGAACCGAAAATAAACCAAAAACCGGATTAGGTATTTTTATTGGAATTTGGAAGAAAAGCCCGCCAGCTTTGTCACTGGTGGGTCTCTCTGCTCCCGGCGGATCGACGCCGTCCTTTTATCCACTCTCTACAGCTTTTTCTCAAGTGTGTCTCTGGCTGCTTAGTTCCTATAGCTTTGCTAGAAATTGAAAATTCCAATAGCCCCTAATCCCAATAACCTCGGAATGTCGGAAATGGCGAGTGACGAGGAAGAAAATATCATTCCTTTCCAGCTCCAGTTCGACAAGCCCATACCTTTTCAGGTTTTGGTTTTACTTCTGTTCAAATTTCGTGTCTTTTTGTGATTTAAAGGAATTTAGATGGATATATATGTTCAATTTTGATTAGATTAAGATAGCTGAGTGGAACCCGGAGAAGGATTTACTGGCAATGGTTACTGAGGACTCAAAGATTTTGCTGCATCGCTTCAATTGGCAGAGATTATGGACTATTTCGCCTGGTAAAGTTCTCTCTTTTGTTCACTTTGTTAGATTGAAGTAGACATTTTCAATACAAGATGGTTTTTGATTGTGGCTCTTAGTAATTTACAGAAATTGAAAGTGAAATGCAATTTGAAGTAGGTTTTCAATAGTAGAAGGATTACTCAGTTAGTCAGATATTTCTGGTACTTAGTGTGTTTCCTTTCTTTTGGCTTATAGGAAAGCCTGTTACTTCTTTATGTTGGCGTCCTGATGGTAAAGCCATAGCTGTTGGGCTTGAGGATGGAACCATTGCGCTTCACGATGTTGAGGCAAGTATAGTTTGAAACTAATCCATGTTTTCCATGATGAAGTTGTTGATGGCCTGAATATTTCTTTTAAACCTTTGCTATATAAAACTAGTATTATGATTTATTTATATTGTCGAAACGGAAAAGGATCATGCTTATCAAAAAGTGGTGGATACTCTTTTAATACAGAACGGGAAGCTATTAAGGAGCTTGAAGCCTCATTCTGTAGCTGTCGTGTGTCTTAACTGGGAGGAAGATGGACAATCCAATACCGTATGTTTTCTCCTCTAACTAGTTGTACAGGAACTCATGAATTGGACATAGATAATCTTTCAATTTCTCATATTATATATGATAGTATAGGTGTGAAAAATTTTGGTTGCGGTATCAATATTTATGTTGAGAAAATTAAGAAAGTTTCTTTTACTAATCCCAGTCAAAGCATCTACACTTTTAATTTTTTTTTTTCACACCCAACTCTTATAGTTAGTTATTTGAGCTTGTTCTAAGCTTTTCTTAGAGTTTGGTTTTCAGGATGAAAGTGATAATTTCTCAGTTTATGAGGACCGGACCTCCCGTTTCTTCCCTCCTGCTCCAAGAGCTCCGAAGATACCTGGACTGGTAGCTGGTGACTCCAGTTTCATGGATGACGGTGAAGACTCTTTGGCAGAACTATCTAATACCTCATTCCGGAAGTTTAACATTCTTTGCAGTGGTGATCGTGATGGGAGCATATGCTTCAGTATATTTGGAATATTTCAGATAGGGAAGATTGTAAGTCGCTCTTTTGACTGTAAGTAATTAGTAAGGCGTTAATATCCATTCATGTATCATCATCTTCTCATTTCTGCTTGCATATAGAATTGCAGGATGCTTAATGAATTTTCAACTCTATTTCTGCATGGAAATTGTTTTTTTGAAACCCTTAGTTGCTTTTTTATTACAAGTTCTTAATATTGTTAGTGGTAAAGTTAACGATTTGTAAGTTTTTTGTTTCTTTTCTAGCTATGAGCAAATATTCTATTGTTTTATTTTTAGTTTAAATCTTATTTTCTCTTGTATCATGTGTTTGCTCTGCTGCTCCTGCATTACCATGACAGAACATACACGAGCTGTTTGTTTCTGTGCCCCATCTGGATGAGCATGCCTCTTGCAAACTATTTAATGCTTCTATTTACAAGGTAATTGGATCCTTTTAAGAGCCATGCTTTCCAAATTATATAAATGACCTCTCGTTATTTCTCATGTCTCTCACTGTAAATGCCTGTTGTGGAAACAAAGAAAGGAGAGCTTGTTATATGAGAAGGAGTCTTTAGATTCAAATTAATTATTGTATATTACATTTCTTATGTTATATGAGAAGGAGTCTTTAGATTCAAATTAATTATTGTATATTACATTTCTTAGGTTGCTTTGTCGAAAGACCTCTGCCGTCTGGTAGTAATGTGCACAGGAGAGCTTAGGGATTGTGCTATAAAGCCAAGAGAGGAAAAATTAAATGTTGAAGATCTGCCTGGTTTACATTGCCTTGCAATGGACACATCTATATTTTGGAAGAGGTAAACACACCAAATTATCTATACTTCGCAGCTGCTTCTTTCTCTGTACCTTCTCATTGTTTCAAATCTGGATTTTAATACAGGAAACTGTTAGTAAATGGCACTCTTTTTCCGCCTTGCTTCTGTCATGTTCTTTATATCTCATCTAATTTTTATATCAGGAAATATGAGCTTCATCAGGTTGCTCAACAAGCTTCTAACATTGAAGATTTGACTGAGGTTATTCGAGCATCCCTGTCAGTTATGAGCAAACAATGGGCGGATGCAATGAAAACTTTTCATGACAAGTTTCATTCGCTTTCCACGTTGATCATTGATAATGGTATTTGCCGCTATCAGTTTGTTGGTGGAGGTTTTTCTCTTATGCTTAATCGCTTATAGATTTACAAGGCTCTGTTGCTTTTCTCCTAGGACTGGAGTCATCTCCTCAAGAAGAGTTTCTTAGCCTTTTGGGTGGTGCACGGATAAGTCCAGCGCTTAATCAGTTTTTAGTTAACTCTCTTGGTGAAGTGGTAAGCTTTACTTGTTTGATCTTCTTCAGGGTAATAGTTTAATCATATTCCACTAAGTAGTTCTCTTGTTTTACTAGGGTGTGAAGCGAGTTTTAAAGTCAGTATGTGGTACAGGAAAAGAGCTTCAGCAGATTGTCCTTGACCATCTTCAGGTTCAGTATTCTTCACACTCCTGGAAAGGGAGTTTGAATTGTTAGACTTTTTATCCTACTAATAGTTTTTAGATGAGTTTTGTCACGATTAAGCTTTCTTTTCAGCCTGCAGCAGAAATTATAGGATTCAGGATGGGTGAATTAAGAGGTCTCTCGAGGTGGCGTGCACGTTACCAAGGCATTGGTTTGGATGAGATACTCCTTAATGAAGCCACTGAAAATACTGGTCTTCTACTTGTACAAGTGCAACGGTTTATGATGGTACTATCTTCTGTTGTCCAACAGGTACAGAGGCGTGCATTCTTTTAGATACTGAGAATCGTAGTTATTCAGTATATTGGCTGTCCCATGTTTCTCACGCAATGGTCAGTTCAATAGAATTATAATACTCTTTGTTTCAGTTTTCAAATTTCTTCAACTGGCTCGTCAGAAGCATAAAGTATCTTATGCAAGAACCAAATGATCAGCTTTTGTCATACAACAGGTATGCACATGTGTTTTCTATGTTGTTAATGATGTTAAAAGCCAAATCTCTGCAGTTACACGGTTTGCTTCTTTGGCAGTGAACTCCTTGTGGTATTCTTGAAGTTCTTATATGATCAAGATCCTGTGAAAGACCTCTTGGAGCCATCTGAAGCTGGTGATGACATTGAAATTGATCTGTAGGTCACCTCTTTCTATATCTATGCTTTTACCTACCCTTTCTGCGTAGTTTATCTTGTAGTCGTTCAGAATCTCTGTCAGTTTATCTTGTGAAGCATGAAGTCCATTGTATCCTCCATAGCTGTCTTTTTTTTTTTTTTGACATCGTATCCTCCATAGCTGTTCATTCATTTTATTTTCCTTCGTTTCCTTCAAACTCTTAGTGTTCTAATGTCCCAGCAAAACCATAGGAAGAGTCAAAGAGTTACTTCAGTTTGGAGGGTTTTCAGAGTGTGACTTTCTGCAGAGGACATTGGCTAAGGAATTCCAACATATGGAGTCTAGGTATTTTCTTCATATTTCCACACAAAAAGGCTATGGTAGAGACAAAGGTCTGATGCCATGGCTTTGCCTTGACAATTTTAAATACAACCTGAACAACCATATTTATGTTTTTGGAGTTTTACCCGCAAAACAAAGTGTGTTGAGTCTTTAGAGTCTGGTCATACTTTCTCATGGTTTCTCTGACTAGACGTCAAATTTTGATTTTAATGCTTACACAATTTTAGCTTCAAGATGGCTCTTCAAATGCCCTTTACAACAATATCAAGAAAGATATCATGTATGAAGTGGTTGCCGCTTTGCCCTCTTCAGTTGTCAACAACGGAAACTCCTCCCACAATTCCCATGTCTCTTTCCTTCTATAAGGTACTTGCAGCAACAATCTTATGCACGTTATTATGATCACATATGACATCCTTAGGAAGAGATTGCTGATTACTATCTCCAAAGTCTTCATTTGCTCCCGATATACTGAAGTCTTGGTTTGCTTTTGTAGAATGAACTTTCTGATGATTCACCTTGTCAAAGTGGGTACACTGATTACATATCTTTTCAAGTCCCCAATGAAACCTTCTCAGAGATTTTGAACTGTATTGGCATAGCTAAAGGTTTTAAGCAGAACTCCAACAATGAGAAAAATGGTTATACTTCTCTGGAAGCTGTTTTGTTATCTGTACCTAATGGCTACACTTGTGTTGATTTGTCTCTCTACAAGGTGAATACTCATTCTCTTCTGCAACAATTGTTGATTTAAAATTTTGTGATATTTTTTCTTATGGAGTTGCCTTGTAAATCCTCTGTCTAATTTGAAACAGGATAAAGAACTGGTTTTATTATTGAATAAGACAAGTGCAGATTCCGAAGGCTCGGGAGAAGCATGCATGATGGTTGTACAAACTTGTGACCTTCCATTCATTTCCATTTCAAGATCTAGTTCTCTAAACCAGTGGGAGATAGAGGATTTGAAGGTATTACTAATTTCAGTCATTCTCATCGACGTTATTTTGAAATTTAGTGAAGGTTATGTAAGAACTTATGCATCTTGAAACGATATTCTCTACTATGAAACCTGACAAATTCGCTTTACTCCAGGGCTCGATTGTTAACCTGGAAATTGAAAATGAAAAAGTTCGCAAAGTTCCACATTCTGTCATTGCTCCTCTAGCAGTAAGCGGTAAGAGCTTAATTTTCTGTTTTTTTTTCTTCCTTCAAACTAGAAATTCTTTTTCAAAATCATGAAATATTTTGCTTAATTATATAAAATTGTCTTACAGCTTCAAGAGGAGTGGCTTGTGTTTTTGCTGAAAGAAGACGAGCTCTGGTGTACATATTGGAAGAAGATGAAGACGAAGAAATCTCTGATGACAAGTAAACCTCTTCCAGTGCCTGCTTTGATTGCTTCTGTAGATTATTATTTCTAAGTTAAGAGAAGAAACTTGACTACTTCAGTAAAACGGTGACGTTTTGTTAGTTGATGACTTCTTCAAAAGTCTGTATCAGTATCTTCTTTTCACACTTAAGTCATAATTAAAGAGCGTTTACGCACGTCGGCTCAGCCACTCGCCAGGTTAAGCGCGTGGTTGTCACTTTCCCTATGATCAGACAAAGCCGTACAAAAGTCAGCTTTGGTCGATTCTTTATTCCTAGCTCAACTAAGGAAGCAAGACGAAACTCTCTCTCTCTCTCTATCTAAGTTCGTCACCGTCACGGAGGTTGTCTTGTCTTATGGAGAATGATCAAATGATATCTCCGACTGATATAATCACCGGCATAGTGTTTATTGACGGTGAATTGGCTATGTTGACTTTGACTGCCGACGGGGAGTTACGGTGGACAGAGTACGGACTCCGGCAACAGTTGTCGATGAAGAAGGATGTTCTTGGTTTTGTTGTCCAAGGTAAGCGGATTAGAGTAAAGGTCGTGGTTGAGAAAGAGGCAGGAATCTGCTGCGGACAATTTGATGGAGATTTCGTGAGGAAAGATTTCGTCTTTGAGCCACTCATCGATCAGAATGGATGGTGCTTTAAGCTTCGTCAATACCTTGATTCTCTCGGTTAGTTGTTGTTTTGAAAAAAAGTAGAAAACTTGTGTATCACTCAAATTGCTAAAATTGGAAAATTTTCAATTAGGTCGGCCAAAGAAATTGCTTGTATTGGTGAACCCGTTTGGCGGGAAGAAATTGGCGAGAGAGATTTTTGTTAAGGAAGTGAAGCCTTTGTTTGAAGATGCTGATGTTCAACTTGAGATTCAAGGTTCTTGATTTCTATTTTTGTTTCTTTCTGGGTTTAAGAACTCTTTCTCTGGGAAATTAACAAGTGGATTACTTATGATTGAGTCTTCAGAAACTAAGTATCAGTTGCATGCAAAGGAGATTGTTAAGTCCATGGATGTATCAAAATATGATGGTATTGTTTGTGTCAGCGGCGATGGTGTCCTTGTTGAGGTAAGTAGGAAGTATTCATTTTCTCTATGTCAATTGTTTTGGATAACTTATTGGAAGTGATGCTGTCTGTCTTTTGTGCTATTCTCAACTGATTCAAACTAAAGATATCTAGAATTTGTGTTAGAGCTTTTTGAAGTATCTGCTGGAGGAAGTAATCTCTTGTTAAATTATATGTTTATTCTTTTGCTTGGGTTTGACTCTGGGGTTAAACATTTATTTTATAATTACTGATTCTTACGATTGGTTCCTAATTTAGTAGGTTCTAAATGGACTACTCGAAAGAGCAGACTGGAGAACTGCCTTAAAATTGCCGATCGGAATGGTCCCTGCAGGTTTGTGTTTCATCCTTAGAACTCCAAGCTGTTTGCAATAGGATTTTGTTTCTGCATCCCTAAACACATATAAGATGTAACTTCTCTCGACTTGCTCTACATTTCATTGTTTATGCGTTTGTTGATCTACATGCTCGAAAATATCGTGCATTGCTTGTAATCAGAGATCTTTGGAGGTTTAATTTGCTTCCTCCCTTTTGTCTTGTGTGTTGTTCCCTGTGAAAGTTTAGATGTGACGGTTTTCGTTTTAGTAACAATGACGAAATTGTAGTTTTATCATACGAATACCTGATTGATATCATGTGCATGAGAAATTAGCAAAATCATTTTACTTTCTCTTTATGAGCAATAAAATTCTTGACGGCAGGAACTGGTAATGGCATGATAAAGTCATTGTTGGACACGGTTGGGCTTCGATGCTGTGCAAATAGTGCTACGATTTCTATTATTCGAGGTTCTGCTCCATGCCATAAAATATTCTATCCTTCATAAAATTTTATTTTTCCTCAGTAATCAGCTCCCTAGCACATTATTTCCGTACTGGCAGGTCATAAACGTTTTGTAGATGTTGCAACTATTTCACAAGGGAATACCAAATTCTTCAGTGTCTTGATGCTTGCTTGGGGTATGCTAGTAAATTCTACTTCTTGGTTCTATGTTCAGAGTCAGAAAGTTATTTGCAATGAAAGTAGTCCATGAGCTTGATGGAACATGCTTTTTGTTGTATTGATTAGTCCAGTTTATTTCAGGTTTAATAGCTGATATAGACATCGAGTCAGAGAAGTTCCGATGGATGGGAAGTGCTCGCATTGACTTCTATGTACGTTTTTAGTTGAAAATTTTGACAATTATTGCATTGCAGTTGTTAAATTGCTGGTGAGACTGTATGATTCTAATCAGATGTTCGCTTATTGAACTTGAGGAATGTTTTTATCTTCTTGTACTTGTAGGCTCTTCAGAGGATAATATGTTTAAGACAATACAATGGACGAATCTTATTTCTACCGGCTCCTGGGTTCGAAAGCTACGGACAGCCAGCCAGTTGCAGTCTATACAAAGAGCCACCTGTTAGCGATAAAGAGCTCGGGTACCAAGGACCTGAAACTAAATTTGAAGATCTAGAATGGAGAGAAATCAAAGGTCCATTTGTTACTGTATGGCTTCACAATGTTCCCTGGGGTGCTGAGAACACTTTGACTGCTCCTGCTGCAAAGGTCAGTTACAACTTTCTAACATTACAAGATAAGATCTTGGATATTCTTTTGTTGTGAACGATCAAGAGGCCTTCATAAGGTTCTTTTACTTGCGAAAAAAACTCTAAAGCTTCTCTTGTATATTTTCTGATGAACAGTTTTCTGATGGCTTTCTGGACTTGATTGTATTGAAAAACTGCCCTAAGCTTGTCCTGCTCTCGCTTATGAGACAGACGAGTAGTGGAACACATGTTGAGTCACCCTATATAACGTATCTAAAGGTTTGTCATCCAAAAACCCATATAGCTGAAATCTTTCATTAGACGGCATTAATGTACCTTGTGATTGACTAAAAAGCATACGCGGTGAATTTACTGTCGAAAAGGTGAAGGCATTTGTACTGGAGCCGGGTGGACTTGTAGACGAACCAGAGAAGGAAGGAATCATAGATTCAGATGGAGAAGTTTTGGCAAGAGGAAAAAGAACATATAATTGTGATCAAAAGGCTTTGATGTCTTACGACAAGCTTCAAGTAACTGTTGATCAAGGTTTAGCCATACTCTTCTCTCCTGAATATTGATAATGTTTTAACAATACACGTGTGATGAAGACATATTCACATCATAATTCATAAACCTTGATTGACTTTTTCTTTTTTAATCTCTTTTTGTAAATGTTATTCCTTTGTGGTTGTGGGTGTAACTTGATTGATACACATGTACAGTACATTACAGGAAATGAGAACCAAACAAATGTTTTGTGTATTTCTTACAATTAATCCTAAGATTCTACAGAAAGATTGTTGTGCGAGTTATTTCTGATTTTATCTTGAGCTTCAAGTGTTAACTTGGTATAAGCCAGAGGAAGCCAGTATTTACATTATTTTTGACATTTTCTTGCAGGATTCCATTGTTTTACTACAAATGAAGAATGCAAAGGTTTGTCTCTGCATATTATTCCAATTTTAGAACTTAGAAAATAAAGCCAGAGAGAGTCTAGCTAGTTCACTTTCTTTGAATTAGTTAATACGATGTCGTATTGAGACTCTTCATTATTTCTCTTCAGCCTACGAGAAATCGACACGTCATTACTACGATTGCCACGTCATCTAATCCACTCGCTAGGCTAGGCGCGTGTCATTTCTACCTGATCGGAAAACTCTTACCAAAGATTAGCTTTCAGGTCAATTTTTAAATCTTAGCTCTCATCAACGACGGAACTCCTCTTCCTCCCTCTTGCCTATGGATCGTCAGCCGGAGAGGGAGAATGATGAACTACCGTCTCCGGTGATAATATCCGACCGAGTTCTGGTAAATGGTGTTGTCACGCCGTTAACTTTGACCGCCGACGGAGAGCTACGATCGACGGAATCTGGACGGCGGAAATCGACGGTGGCGAAAGAAATCCTGAGTTTTGTCGTGGAAGGTAACAAGGTTAGAGTAAAGACTTTGGTGGAGAGACGAGGAGGAATTTGCTGTGGAGGAAGTGGGGGAGATTATGCGAGGAACGATTTCGTTTTCGAGCCTCTCTCTGATGAATCTAGAAAGCTATGGTCCGATAAGCTCCATCAACACCTCGACTCTCTCGGTTAGTTCAATTATCGAAAATTGTGTATATCACCTGAGCTAAAATCGAAATGCATTTCTTAAATCTCGATGCTGAATTGGTGATTCCTTAGGTCGGCCAAAGAAATTGCTTGTGTTTGTGAACCCATTTGGCGGGAAGAAATCAGCGAGAAAGATTTTTCAAGAGGAAGTGAAGCCATTGTTTGAAGATGCTAATATTCAACTTGAGATTCAAGGTTCTTAGTTTCTAATTTTGTTTCTTCTGGGTTCTTCTTCCTGCTGTCAAGAATTCAACTGCGGGAAATTAACAATCGGATTACTTTTGATGTTTTCTTCAGAAACCAAGTATCAGTTGCATGCAAAGGAGATTGTTAGGTCTATGGATGTATCGAAATATGATGGTATTGTTTGTGTAAGCGGCGACGGCATCCTTGTTGAGGTAAGTAAGAAGCTTTTCCTGCTGTGGAAGTATCATTTTCTCTATGTCAATTTTATTGGATATCTTAAAATGGAAGTGATGATGCGTGTCTTTTGTGCTGTTCGCACATGATTCTTACTAAGGCAATTTAGAATTGATGTCTTAGTCTCTTAGACAAAGTAAGAAGAAAAACATATTGCTTTGGGCAGTATCTGTAGAGGAAGCAATCTCTTAATAAATTATATGTTTACTGTTTTCCTTAGGTTTGACTTTGGGATTAGACAATTACTGTATTGGTGGTGATTCTTACAATTGGTTCCTAATTTAGTAGGTTGTAAATGGACTGCTTGAAAGAGCAGACTGGAAAACTGCCTTAAAGTTGCCAATTGGAATGGTCCCTGCAGGTTCGTTCTGCCGTCATACTTCTCTCGTCTTGTGTGTTTCATGTGAAAGTTTAGATGTAAAGGTTATCCTTAAGTAAGATCGAAACAGTTTGCTGTTTATCATACCAAATTGATATCTTGTGTATGAGAAACTTTAGCTAAATTTTTTTACTGTGTTTCTTCATGTGCACTAAAATTTTTAATGGCAGGAAGTGGTAATGGCATGATTAAATCATTGTTGGAACCGGTAGGGCTTCCTTGTAGTGCAACAAGTGCTACGATTTCGATAATTCGAGGTCCTGCTCCATGTCATACGATACTCAATCCTTCAAAAGCATTTTGACTTTCCTAATGAATCAACTCACTGTCACACTAGTTCTGTATTGGCAGGTCGTACACGTTCTCTAGATGTAGCAACTATCTCACAAGGGACTACCAAATTCTTCAGTGTCTTGATGCTTGCTTGGGGTATGCAAGGACTTCTACTTCTTGGTTCTGTATTACTATAGAATTTAGAAACTGATTTCCAAATGCAAGTAGTGGCTGAGCTTGCTGAATTATTCTGTTGGTTGTATTGAGATAAATGCATTTTATTTCAGGTTTAGTGGCTGATATAGACATCGAGTCAGAGAAGTTCAGATGGATGGGTGGTGCTCGCTTTGATATCTATGTATGTTTAGTTGAACATTTAAAAATTTTCTGCAGTGCAAGTTTTAAGTATGCGTTTAGTCTACTCAAATCTATCAATTGAGTTACTAGTGGAGGTTGAACAAAAAAAAGAGATTGTATGATTCTTATTGGATGTTGTTTTATTCAACTAAAGATCTCGTGTTCGTTCTTCTACGGCTTGCATTTGCAGGGTCTTCAGAGGATAATATGTTTAAGACAATACTATGGACGAATTTTATTTGTGCCAGCTCCTGGGTTTGAAAGCTATGGGCAACGAGCCAGTTGCAGTGTAGATAAAGAGTTATCTGGTAGTGATAAGGCACTCGTATACCAAGGACCTGATACTAAACTCGAAGATCTGGATTGGAGAGAAATGAAAGGCCCATTTGTTTCAGTATGGCTTCATAATGTTCCCTGGGGTGCTGAGAACACTTTGGCAGCTCCTGACGCAAAGGTTGGTCAGTTAAACTTTTTCAAACCAGGAAAACACAATTTTTGGCAATTATTTTGCAATGTACAGCAAGAAGCCTTCATATGGTTGTTTACTTGCAATAAAATCTTGAAAGCTTCATATGGTGTGATTAACAGTTTTCTGATGGCTTCCTGGATTTGATTGTCATGAAAGACTGTCCTAAACTTGCCTTGCTATCACTTATGACAAAGTTGAGTGATGGAACACATGTTCAATCACCATATGTATCCTATCTAAAGGTTTGATATCCGAACCCATGAACCCATTTTTCTAGTTGTAATCTTTCATTTGATGGCTTTGATGTTTGTTTTTGAATGAATGTGGTTCTATGATTGACTAAAAAGCTTACGTGGTGACTTTACTGTTGAAAAGGTGAAGGCATTCGTGCTGGAGCCAGGTGCACGCATAGATGAACCAGACAAGGAAGGAATCATTGATTCAGATGGAGAGGTTCTGGCAAGAGGAAGAAAATCATACAAATGCGATCAAAAGGCTTTGATGTCTTATGACAAGCTTCAGATAAGTGTTGATCAAGGTTTAGCCACTCTCTTCTCTCCTGAATAATTCTGATTGATACATGAGATGAGATGAAGTTGTCCTTTGCGGCTATAATTTGATTGATGGACATTATTACAGTACAACAAATTAGAAGCAAGCAAAGAGATGATTTGTGTCTTATATAGTAAAATCCCTAAAGATTGCCATTGAGTGTATTGTTTATTGATTTTTCATTTTTGTATCTTTCAAGTGTAAACTTTGTGTGTTGTTTGTTGTATTGCAGTCTCGAGATAGTAGAATTATCATTTTTTTTGTTTTTGTTTTTAAATAGTAGCAGTTCCAAAGCTTAAAGCTTTGTGGCAAATATAAAATGAAGATTAATTTTGTCAACTAGCAAAGTATGACAAAAAGTTGGAAGAGATTCTATCAAGCAAACAAGTAAAAAAATTGATGCGACATATCATATTTAACAAATGATATAATGTTGTCCATAGGAATTTATTTTGGACCTACCATACTAATGATGACTTGGCGTATACATTGGATATTTACATATTAAAAAGGAATAAATATCATAGAAAAAGTGGAAATAAATAAATGTGATAGGAGAGAGAGTCATAAATAGCTTTCTTTTTCCGTAAATTCCACAGAGAGTATTTGTTTAGCTGAAGAGGCAGGCAAACAAATTACCCAAAACAACAACACTTCACTATTTCTCTTTTCTCTGCTTGCTTTCACCATTTTCTTTTTTCTCTCCTCCATCAATTTTCTCACGGTTTTCTAGGGTTTTAAGCTTTCGTCTTCTTCCATGTCATCCTCTTCGTTTTCTGCTAGATTTTGCTTCAACCACGAATGTTTTGAGTTCAAGCTCGACCATTGCCGTCCTGGTTGGCGTCTCCGTTCTGGCGATTTCGTCGACCTCTGTGATCGTTGCGCGTAAGCAACCTTTCCCTCCTTCCTTTCTTCGCTTTCTTCACTCTCTCTCTCTCTGTTTGTTTTTTTGAGTTGATCATTTCGGTTTTTGGAGTGTGCTTGTCTTCGATTTTGGAAAACGTACTTAGTTTTTTTTCCTTCTTCTTTCTGTAATCTGGGCTTGTGTTAGTAAGATGTGCTAGCTTGTGGTGACAAAATTTGAAACGGTAATTTCAGAGTATAGAGTCCGCATGTGTTGACTACAAGCCGAGAAACTAGGAGCCATTCTTTTCGGAGGTTTATTGGAATTGTTTAACGCTGTTGAATTTAGTGATTGGAATATAGAGTTTTAGCATTTTGATGGATGCTGGGGGACTAATGAGTTTCACCTGAACCTTCATGTAGCATCAATGTTGTGTAACAAGTAGAGAGTCTAGAGGTTCAAAGTCCAAGTGACATGAAAGAGATAGGAGAAGTGAGACTAAGGGACAAAATAATTAAAGCAATAGGAAGCTACATTGCATTCTGATCCACCAGATTGGAGAAATTCGTCCACTAGTGGGTTTTATAGATTTTTATATTCTGCTGCATCAAAGTTAGAAAATATAAAATGATGAGTTTCTTAGGCTTACTTTGTGCTATTTTTGAGGTGTTATAGGGAGCATTTTGTGAAATAATAAATTGGGTAAAGTAATGGTTTCTATGTAAACACAAGGTCACTTTCATGGTATTGCAAAGCCTTTGAGTATCAGGATTTAATTAGGAATCAGAGACTTTAACCAACACAAAGAGTCTGGTTTTCCTTTGTTTGATTTCACTACTCTGCAGACACAATTCTTTTACCTGCTCACTGCATCAATATCATTAATATCGATTTTCCAAATATATAATGATTATATTCTGGTTCAGCTCTGCTTATGAGCAAGGACAGTTTTGTGACGTATTTCACCAAAGGGCTTCCGGATGGAGGTGTTGTGAGTCATGTGGAAAGGTAAAGATATGATTTACTGGTTGAAATTTTATGTCTCCTTGGCATTCCAGATATGAAGGCTCTCACTAATAGCATTTCGTGCAGCAAATTCATTGTGGATGTATTGTTTCTGCATCTGCTTTTACGTTACTGGATGCTGGAGGAATTGAGTGTTTGGCTTGCGCTAGAAAAAAAGTTGCTTTGGTGAGGGACAATTTCACCTTTTATTTCCTATCATAGAATTCAATCCATTTGTTTTCTCAGAGGCATGATGTTACTGTAACAATGTCTCTCAGTCATTATATATCTTAAGCTAGCAAACAAACTTCAACTGTATAATGGTCCTTTTCAAGTTTTAAGATCTATTTTGAGCTGTAGTCTGTGTGCTATAACAGTCTGCATTCATGTGTTTCAGGGATCCAATTTTTCGCCATCACCGTCCTTTCTTTTCCAATCTCCAATTTCTGAGAAATTCAACGACTTGTCGATCAACTGGAGTTCCTCAACTAGGTCAAATCAGATAAGCTACCAGCCTCCTAGTTATTTAGGTCCTTCAGCTCTGCAGTTTGATTCGCGTAATCGTGGAGGTAATAATGAGTTTAGTCAACCTACTTCTAAAGACAGGGCCACTGCATGTCCCATGGGCAAAAAAAGGGGAATGAATGACATGATAGGGAAACTAATGAGTGAAAACTCGAAACATTATAAAGTATCTCCTTTTCCAAATGTCAATGTATATCACCCACTGATCTCAATAAAGGAGGGTCCATGTGGGACACAGCTTGCGTTTCCTGTGCCAATTACAACACCAATTGAGAAAACTGGTCACTCTAGACTAGATGGAAGTAATTTATGGCATACACCTAATTCATCTCCACTAAGTCGCTTACACAATGACTTGAATGGTGGATCAGACTCGCCATTCGAAAGCAAAAGTCGTAATGTGAGGACTCATCTTGATACGCCAGGAAAATATCAGGTGGTTCCACGATATTGGCCCAAGGTTTCATATAAAAACCAAGTTCTGCAGAATCAATCAAAAGAGTATCCTTCTTCTCTTATAGATACTACATTGGAATATAACTTTGTATGTTTATTAGAAGTATATGAATCATGCTTTTCTTTTTCATACTTCAGTGTCCATATTACTCTTGCTTTTTGTTTGTCTTTCTAGATTTTGATGTGAATAAGTCTATACTAGGTTGTAGAATAGGGTGGATATTAGCCTTCCAGATAAATGGTTTTAGAGATAGGTTTTACTTTAGATACTTTGCCGCTCAGGTTCATGACAAGTAAAATTAACAAAACATAGGCTACTTTTAAGTTACCAGAACCTTAACGATGTGCAAGATCTGAATCCGTTCTCACTCCTCTCTTTGAGAAGATGCTGAGTGCAAGTGATACTGGAATAGTTGGGCGAGTGGTGCTGCCAAAGAAATGTGCAGAGGTAACGAACTGTTTGCTTATGAAATTACAGATACTTGTTTTCTTATTTAAATGGTTATTCATGTGAAAAGAATTTGGGTTGTGGCTGTCTTCTGCTTATAGCAATACTTCACTGCTTTTGTATCTTGAATCTAGTAGTCATAATATCTGAAAACTTTGCAGTCGTCTCATATTATAGATAAGATGCCAAATGAACAAGGCATTTGCTATGTAACAGGCTTTCTTGCCCCAACTTTCCCACACCCAAGGTGTGCCTCTCACAGTACAGGACCCAATGGGTAAAGAGTGGACATTTCAGTTTCGCTTTTGGCCCAGCAGGAATAGCAGAATATATGTTCTAGAGGGAGTAACTCCATGCATACAGAGCCTGCAGTTGCAGGCTGGTGATACAGGTATATCGTTTGTGATGTATTAATTTGGTTTACCATGTAGCTAATGCTTAAATATGTTTTATGTAGTAGCATTTACTGTTCACAATTCCATCTGTTTAATGCGGAAGCAACTCTTTTTCTCTTTTTCTCTCACTCAATTACCATTTTTTATTGATATCTTTTATGAAGCGCATTAACACTTCTTCTGAGTTAATAAATTTTCTAGAGCTTATGCCTGGGAAGTGGGAACTGATTTCCATTTTCTTGTTAGTCATATTCAGTCGATTAGATCCAGAAAGGAAGTTAATTTTGGGATTCAGAAAGGCTTCGGTTACTCGATCATCTGATCAGGTTACTTTCTAACTTAACTAGATAGCTTTTGTTTGTAAATACTTCTGGTTCACTATAGTTACAATCTCAACTAACGGCTAGTTTTAAGAAGCTTTCCTGAATGTCAGCTGCACTTTAGAATATAATCAACGCACAATTAGGAGTAACACGATGAAGTATAATGAGTGAATACGCATTGTTTACTTCTCTATACTTTGTTAAATTTGTGTTAAGTGATTAAATATGTTGGACAAAATTCTATAGTATGCAGTTCGAATATGTTTTTTTTTTTATATCATAATTTGTTCTGTCTTGCATTTGCGTTAGTTCTCTAAGTGCTGGGAAGTCATGTTTATTCCGGCATGGAAATCGGTTACAAAATATGCTAACTAAATAAAATCAAACTGACACCTTTTCTTGACTAATATGTTAATCTCTTCTCCATTTCCATTAGCAGGCTGAAACGGCTGATATGCATTCACCGTCTAAAGTTAAGAAGTCTGCTTATATAACTAAAGAATCTCCAGGAGTAGAATGTTCCTCCGGTAAGAAGAAAAGCAGCATGATGATTACAAGAAGTAAACGTCAAAAAGTTGAAAAGGGAGACCACAACTTGCTGAAGCTAACATGGGAAGAAGCTCAAGGATTTCTCCTGCCTCCTCCCAACCTCACTCCATCCAGAGTTGTGATAGAGGATTATGAGTTTGAGGAGTATGAGGTACATTCATATGTTTTTGCTTTACTAATTTGCATATGTGGTCTATGCCGCTTAAGAATCTTATTTATCTTATCGTTTCTTTATGATTTGGCTGTAGTTTCTTCTGGAATACAAAGATTATTTCATGATATTCAAAATAACCTGTTGTTTATATATTCACCGGTTTTTTTGTCCTGTAGGATTTTGAAATTAAGTGGTGCGCTCATGCTACAGTATCATGAAATTGTTAGTCTCAAGCTTATAAAAATTTGTGTGCTTAATTGGCTGAGACTGCTCTTACCTAAAACAGTTGATACCATTGATGTGCCGTGTTATTATGTTTGTTATCATCATCAGTTTTTTTTTTTTGTTGTGTTTTCCAAATCCTGTTTTACTTGTTTTGGAACATATCAATTCACTGAGTTATCTCTTTTTAATGCTTCTTGTGTCAAAATAGGATGCTCCAATCATCGGGAAGCCTACTGATGCTGCAGGGTAAACCACACATCTTTGCTTTATTGGCTTTTTCCTTTTTGCTTTTAGGTGTTTGAATTGGTGAATCTTATCTTAGATGATGTTGGTAGAACCAAATTAGGGTACTAGTACTATTCATGGTCCGAAAGTGTGTTGCCAAGTGTTTGAAAAGCTCATTGAGTTTCTTCTGCTTATTGCTGTTTTCTTTTGAATTTTGTCTAGTTTCAGATCAACATGCACAGAAGTTGAAGGACTGTTGATATCACCCACAACCACAAAGCACCCACGACATAGAAATGGCTGCACTTGCATCGTTTGCATACAATCCCCAAGTGGGATAGGTCCTAAACACGACCGACGCTGTTCTTGTGCGGTCTGCGAAACTAAAAAACGCCGTAGGCGTTCTCTGTTGCTACGGAGGGAAAAGATGCAGATGGAGAAAGAAGACAATGCGCACAAGGAGCTCGAGCAACTGAACTCTGATAATGGACTTCACCAATCTGCTAACAACAGTGAGAATCATGAGCGTCATGATTCGCCTGAGCGTCATGCTTCGCCTTTGAAAAGTCAATTAGATTTGAACTTCAAACCAGAGAAAGACGAAGAATCTCTGCCTGGTTCTAACAAAACTACCGAGAACAAGACTTTCCATCATAATGACACAGTGAATTCTAGCTTCAAGTCACCAAGCTCATCAAGTGCTCATAGCCAAAATAACAAGGAAGATGAAGGAAAACTCAGGAAAAACACAGAAGTTGCAGACACCACTACAAGCTCCATGTAGATTTTGCAGACTCCTATAGCTGCAAGGTGAATAGATTATGATGGGAAAAACCAGAAAGTTTTTGGTAAATTACCTTTTTAACCCCACAGGCTTTGCGCATTTTGTAGATAAATGGGCAGTTAAATATCCTTACTGATGAAATGCTCATTACTTTTCTGACTCGCAGTCGCAGCTAATGAAAATGGGCAATTTAATCTCTCAACGTTTTTTGTCTACAAAAGCAGAATTACAGTTGTTTTGAAAAAAATCACTTGCAAAAAATGAGAAATGTTGTTAAAACCATTGGGTCTGTATGACTGTATCTGCGCAAATTGTCATAAAACCAAATGTTTGTTCTGAAGCCACCAATTTAACAACATAAAGCCAAGAATCACCAAAATAAAGTTAGATTCTCATACACATTTCATGAAAAAACAATTTTCTGGATTGGCATGATCTTTTACACAACAAAAGGAAAAGCTTGTTCTGCCTACTACGAACATTCATCCCCAAAATGTATGTAGCAAATTGTCTTGAAACAAAAATCATTGTCCTAAAAGCCATCACTATAACTACATAAAGCCAAGTCAAACAAAATAAACCGAACACACATCGTTCTCTAGTGGCACATCGGTCAATTACCAGCGTTAGGCAAAGCAGCCATGAACGAGTTATAGGATGACTCAAGGTCAAAGTGAAGTTGCCTTGCTTGCTGCTCAGTGAGCTCATCTGAAGCTCCCATCTTTGACAGCCTCAGAAGCCATTCCTTCATCTTAATCTTTCCCTCGAAATCCGGTGGCAAAATACTTAGTTTGTTAAGAGAAGCCGAGAGATCAGACAACAACGGATACACCTGATCAACAGCAACCATGTTGAGTTTCAGAGAATCCATGGAAGTGATAAAGTTCTGAACACACTCAGCAACAACAGAAGCAGAGCTTGATGTAGAAGCAGAAGCAGCAGCTCGATGCTCCACAGTAGCAGGAACACCAGAAGTCACAAGGCGATAAACTGCAGCTGAGCAATCCATTTTGTACGTCTCTGCAAATCTTTCAATGTTTGGGACCATATCCTTGAGCGATGCAGATAATGTCTTGAAGTGGACAATGAGTTTCTGGCACTCGGTTTCGTATTCAGATGGAGAGATCAGATCACGGATATAAGCCTTCTCGAGCTTCTCAGTAGCTTTGATGATAGCATAAAGCTCTGCGAAATTCTCATACATTTCTCTCTCACGCTTATCATTCCATAACTTGACCTCCATCTTTCAGAAACTGAGAGCTAGCTAATAATAACTTGATGAGCTTTCAGTATAAAGGGAACTATGGAGAAGAGAATGGGACACGCGCAATGACGAAAACAAAAAGCAAAAAGCTTCCTCGCTGATAACAAAATCAATAATACCAAGTTAAACAAAATCACAGTAAGAAGTGATTAACAACTAACCAAAAGAAAAAGAGAGAAATGCAGGTAAAAAGGATATAGGATCCAGATTCAAGAAGTTGATTACTCTACAAAGCATCATAAAATCTTATAAATAGAAATCTTTAGGGAAAACGGTGAAGCTTGAGAGAGGAACCAGAAGACATTGATGAACAAAACCCAGAGAGAAGATGATATGCAAATTGCAATCATGATCATAATCACCAAAGCAAGAAATGGAGAAAACCCAATGAATATTTACCCTAAATCATTGAAACCCAACACTCAAAATCCTAAATTTCTTCATCTACCGAAGGAAAAACCATAACTTATGAAGTGAGAGAAACTCACAAGGAAGCAAGTTGGGAGATTTCGATGGTGGAGCTACTTCTCCGGATTAGAGGAGAAAGATATGGAGATTGGAGAGAGAGAGAGAGAAGAGAGATTGGAGATTGCGTGTGCTCACACGACACCTCTTTATGATGATGATGAATTGATGACGAAAGCTTTCACGCGGTATGAACAAAACAACACGGAGGCAAGGCAACGAACTCTGTCTGGATCAACAACAAATCAATCACCATCGATACTCGCGCAATTAATATTAAATATAAACTTGATTGATTTCGAAAGAAGAAAACTCGATTAAACCCTAAATCGAACAAAAATCTGAGCAAAGAAACAAAAGCTGACCTGTGGAGTTGACAATCGGGTTATCAGAGAGAATCGCTCGAGCAGAGAGCCACCAATTAATTCAGAGACTTTTGTTTAGTCCTTTCACACGCCTTTTCCCGTATTTTACGTGCGACTTTTTTACCCTCCTCTTTCTCCTCCCTTACCTTTTAATAAATACCATGGGTTCAAATGGTTGCGACGGTTAGGACGGATAATTCTGTTTACCGTTCGGACCGTTTTTTTTATTTACTATCATAAATTATAATCCGTAGTGCGGAATAAAAAATATAGAACAAGTCTACGACAGATTAACTACGGATCGTTTTTACATATAAATAAATTTGATATGCGTCGGTTTGTTGTCCTTTCCAAAATAGGGTGGTCTAGTCCGCTAACGGTTTAATCCGTTTTGTCTACAACATACATTCAAAGCCTATGAGTTTGAATGGATACTGCAGACTGAACGGACTAGACCGATCTATTTTTAGAGCGGACAACAACAAACCACCACAGTTAGTTCGTAACAGATTTTTTTCACTATGTATTTATAATTTATAGATGGTAAATAAAAAAGGGTCTAGTCCACAAGCGGATTTGTCTGTCCAACCACCGCAACCATTCCAATTATATTTATCTATTTTTTTTTTCTTTTCACAAATAAATGGGAAAGATATTAATATGAGTAGTGTTCTTTGGATCAAAAAGAAGGGGCATATAGCTTTTGTCATGGTCCTCCTCTTTTGGGTATTATCTTGAATCATATCCAGGGCCGGCGCAGAGGCCAAGCAACTGAAGCGAGCGATTGGGGCCCCAAAATTTTAGGGCCTTTAAAACTCAAAATTTGTTAAGTTTTGGATATGCTGCAAAAGCTATAAATTTATTTTGTAGGGCCTTTTTTAAAAAATGATATGGGCTTTTAAAGACAAACTAATTATCTTCAACACTAAATTTTTGATTTAGTAAAAAAAACTCTAAAACGCTGATTGAATATAAAAAAAAAAAACTGACGCTACATGATACTTCTTATGCGTGTATGTGAGTCAATTTGATTATTTTACAAGTGAAAAATCCTAGTTTTTGAAGTTAATTGTTAGTTTTGCTTTTGAATTTATTGTTTTTTCCTTGCAAATTTGTTTTAAAAAAGAAAACTGCAAATCCGATAATGATTCGTTAATGGTTTTTGTAATATATGAAAAAAGCATACTTTTTGAAGCTTTGCGTAGGGCACTCGCAGATGTCGGGCCGGCACTGATCATATCATATCCATTTGTTTTTATCTTTAAACTCAATCAAGATTTATGAAATCTTATTAGGCAACCTGAGCCGTGTGACCAAGGAAGTAATGTGAATGTGTGAGTTTGTCGAACAAACATTATTATTCATAGCATCTAAATTTTCAACATTATTGTTTCTTTTTCCCCAATCATGCAACCAAAAGTTTTAAAGCAAAACCTTTAGTTCTTTATCCTCAACATAAACATACAAGATCATCATGGTTTGGCTATAACATGGCTGATGAAACCAGTAGATTCCCACTCCAGCCGGGCCATGATCATTCTGTCTTTTTATCGAGTTTCTTCTTGGTCTCACCGCTATAAGGACCAGCATGATAAGCATGCTTCTGAACCACAGCGAAGATAACCATCTCAAGGCATACCAACACATTCTGAATTGCTTCTTGGATTTGTTCTACCTCCAACCAGAAATGGTGAGATTTGATGAATCCCATTGCCACCAGAATGTCTAGTGCTATTCCCTGCAGTTTCCGAATCAAACCAATCTAATGAGTATTGTCTCAGTGACTTAAGATTTCCAAACATGAGTTTTTTGCTTTGAGAAACATTACCTGCCAAAAGACGAAGAAGACAATTCCTTTGATGCAGAGGAACTTTGCGAGTGGATTATGAGGAGCAAGCTCCTTAGCAAACACATGGTAGAATATCACAAGAGAATACAACGCCAGAGAAACCGAGAAATTGACAATTATAGTAAATGTCCAGCTCAACCAAGAAGGATAAAACCCAATGAGTTGTAAAGCGATCATCAAAGTGGAGCACACGGGTCGAATGACCACAAATTGCCATGTCCAGTATTTCAAAAGTTTAAGAGTGTGGTGATCCAAACGGACTACATGAGGCTGTCAAAACAATAGACACAAAGCTTTTTAAGAGCACAGAGGCAAATAGAGATATTAGATGAAATCATGCAATGAAGATTGAGACAAACCTGGAAAAGAGTCATTGGGAAAGAATGGTGAATCTCTCTTCCTTTGATTCCATCAGGCACAATGTTTTTGCTCATAGATATGTTTAAATAACTATACATCAATGCCAAGAATTTGGCAATGACCTGCAAAAAAATCGAAAATTTGGTAAATGTCTTCTCTATATTATGTTGAATACTAAGACAAGCGATAAAACAAATTACTCACGAGAGCTTCGTAGCATTCCTTGATGGATTCAAGAAACAAGAAGAAGGTTTCACTTCCTTTAACCTCTAACAAACCAATAAAGGAAACAACTGCGTAGATAGGAGCCATAAGAACAATGATGAGTATAGCCTTCTGTTCCTTAGGGTTCTTCCAGTGAAAGAGATGCTGTGACACAAGCTGTATCGTGAAATGAACTGTGAGCAAGACGGAAAACGCCGAGCAATAAAAAGTGATCTGTGGAGGCTTCAGTTTCGTTAGGTCCATCATTGTTTCCTGCAAATCCCGCATCAAAATACTCTTTTAGCACCAAGAAAACACGAGTTTGCACAAGAATTCTAATCAATCATACACCTGAATCTTCACAAATGTTTCAGCATCTAACATCAAACAGTCCCACATCAAAATTCATAATCTTTGCTGCAATTTCTCTATCCTATTCTCGTATATAACATAAAATTTAACTGTACAATGAAAAGCAAAAGAGTTCATGAGATCTAGTAGAAGGCTAAAATGCGTAGAGCAACTAGATATCTCCGTATCAAAACAGTATTTAGCCGAATTAAAACTCAAAACTTTTTCAATCAAAAAAAAAAAAACTTTATATTGATTGGAGAAACAGGTGAATCAAGAATCGATGAACACGCTAAAACCGATCAGACCCATTTTGATTTTTCTATATTCCAAGACTAATTCAAAGCTAAATATGCAAAATCTCTGTAAATCTGAGCAGAGCAAAAACATAAGAGCTAACCAGAGAGAGAGAGAGAGAGATAGAAAGAGAGGACCTAACCAGAGAAGAAACTAGGGAAGAAGCGAAGATGAGACTAAGAGAGAGTGTGAAGAAGTGAATCAGATCTCTAAGTAGATCATGAAGAATTGAGGGAGCACGAGACCGCCATTAATGGAGTCACAAACGTGGGGGTCCTATTATTATTATTATTAATCAAATGAGATAATTTGGGGAGATTATTAAAAAAATGGCGACGCGTTTACCACGTGAGTGAGACGCTACGATTGCATAACCAAGTCGGCATTGGTCTACATGTGAGACTCTGATTCGTCCACACGGATTTGTTTAGAAAAGTTTTTTAATTAACTACTACAGACGTCGGTATGGTATGATATGAATATGATATGGTCCAAAACTTTAATTGAAAATGAATCTAATAAAAAATTTTGGCTAGTTAGGGATTTTTGGTATAAAGGATGGGGATATTACAGAAATGGGCATTTATTGGGCCAGAAATTTGAAAAATGGAACTTTTATATGCACTTATGAAAATGGGTATTTGTTAGAGGGGAAGATGACGGTTTTGCCTTTATCTTCAATTGATGGTGATGACAACCCATCGTCTTCTTCGCCGTGACAGATCTTCCAACTATGGCAGTTCTTGCTTCTCACCGAACGGTGTCTCCGGCTTCTCTATCAACACAATCTCTGTCAAATCTATCAACCATCACTTTTAATTATATCAATGTCGTCTCCTTCGCCTCCGACTCAGATTACGTGTCCACCACCAATCTCCTCCGATGAGTTGCAGCAAAATCCAATTAAACGAGTTTTGATTGAAGGAATCTAAACCCTATGGGGATGATGCCTTAACCCAAGGGCTCTAATCTTAAACATGGATGGAATCAATTAATCTCTCATTCATCTATAACTCTAAACCAAAATTCGATCGTCGTCGGAGCTCACCTTCGTTTTCACTGTTTGTAACACATGAGATTGAAAGGGAAAATCATTTTCAAGTGATGTTCGATATGGGTTTCAAACTGCAGCTTTCAGTAGAACACCGGAATCGGATAATGTTTGGCCGGATTAATGTTTTCTGGAATTGTGCTGCAGCTCTGACGAGGGTTAAATCGTCTTTGTCTTAACTAAGAAATGCTTAATTATGTAAGGCCGGACAAAGAGTCCGAAATTGATAATTTCTGTGGGAAAAAAGCCCAATCCGGTAATTTAATCTATAAAGGATTCATGAAATTGATGTATGATTGACGATGGTAGTTGTTGGGGTCGGTTTCACCCTTTGGCGCCGAGCCAGACTTAGAACACTTTGGGAGTCTTTCAGAGATCATCTCGGGGCATCGCATCATTCACCTCGGGATATCTGTAAACGATTTAGTATACCCGAGCTCTATCGAGCTCGGGGATACTTTAACAAGACTACGAAGGCACCCGAGCTCTATCGCCTCGGGGACACTTTAACAAGACTACGAAGGCACCCGAGCTCGATCACCTCGGGAGTTTCTGAGCCCGTCGCCTCGGGAACACCTTTAACAAGTAGTCTCGAGTGCCCGAGCCCTTCGCCTCGGAGATACTCGAAACTAGACGTTTCAAGCACCCGAGCCCTTCGCCTCGGGGATGTTTGAACGTTATCTCAATCACCCGAGCCCTTTGCCTCGGGAGTTTCTGAGCCCATCGCCTCGGGGACACCCGAAGAAGCCATCCTAGAGTGCCCGAGCCGTTTCTTCCTGTGTACCCGAGCCAGTTGCACAAGTTCCCCGAGGCGAAGTCTTCATCATTGCCCGAAGCAAAGACTTAGTAAATATTCTTCTTTAAAGGTATCATTTCCAAGCATATTATCATTTCCGAAAAAGAAGGATCATTTCCGATAAACTCGGAAATGATAAGGAAGAATCTCGAAGGATCAACTCAAATCAGGAAATCTTCCAAGAGACTCCGAAGAATAAGGAAACTATCCTAATCC